GATTCTTGTCAGCATTGTGCAGGAGAGTGAGGAGGTGGTGTTCTGTCATGTGAGGATAGGATACCAGATGGGATTACAATAGCTGAGCGGGTTTTCTGAAGTAAATAAGCATAGAGTTACCAGGGATAGTCCATACCAGCATAAATAGCTCATTTTAGTTCCACTGAATGTAAATAATGTTAGAAATCTTGTAATGGTTCCGAAGAAGAAGGATATTCAAGATACAATCTTATATGCTGTTCATGTTCTGCGTGTGAAATGATGCAGAAAGTAAATAAAACTAAATAAATACTGTGAATATTCTGCTAGTCAGATATGTTGTATAAGACTTACAGACATAGGTTTCACAAATCCATATTCTTTGAGGAAAAGAGGCTGTATGGTGTGACTGGCCTCTAGCTTTTTAAAGGGGAAGCAACGTTTTAGATCTGATATGCAGGCTACTATGATTGATATTAAATTAGCAATAAATGTGTAGATATTGATGGAAAGGTGAAGAATAAAAAGAATTTGTTTAGAAGAGAGTCAAGATGTTGAGAATAAAATTAATGAAGGCTCGAAGGACTGAAAGAGGGGTTCTTTATTTGCCCACTTGCCATTGTGATGAAGCTGACTAATAAACAAGTGGAGCTGACGCAAAATTATTCATTTCTAAACTGAAGTGCTGATAAGATGAAATTCCTCTGAGTAGAAGGGAGAATTCCTGTGGCTGAAATCGAAAGACAGAAATAGGTTGGAAATAACAGTACATTGCAAAAATGGTGTTTCCTCTTTTCACAGCCATTGTACCAGATGATCTTGAAGTCCAAAAGATAAATTAATACTTAAAATAAATGTTTATGTGCTTGCTGATGACTGCTGTAGACTTCCAAATCCAATTTGAGACTTGGATGAAATGCTGACTAACCTGTCGTGTGTAAGAAGAGAAAGAAGTTCTTAATGTGTGGGGGTGAAGTCTTCAAACTGGAGATCTTTGTTCTCCAACATGAGATTTCTTGGTGGCTATTGAGTAGATTGCTTTATCTGTATGGGAAACACTGTATCACATATTAGCATATTGTGTTAGATCTATTGTCTGTAAACAGAGAGCTGAGCTAAGAACTAAGCTCAGAAATAAAGCCAGGTATTACCCTAGTGAAAGTGATTGAAGCTTGAAACTTTTCTTTGCAAACAGAATAATATCTGGAGAAGTCTGATATGTACCTGGACATATTTATTCAAATAAATGAACTTTACTGCCTAAATAATTTCTAAGCTGCTGTATCTGGATACTTCCAGAAAATGCAAATCTTCTGAAGTTTAAAACAAAGTCACAGTAACTCGATTGAATGAGAGGTTGTGAAGAGAAAAATATGGATAGTAATTGAGTTATATGTGTAAATGGCTAGAAAGCTGCAAACCCGTAGTTGAAAGGGGAGGATCTTCTGATACATAAATAATAATAAGGAAAAAAGGGGTTTTGCTTGTATTAAAAAGAAGTTTGGAAGAGGAAGGCTTAATGATAGAAGGAGCTAGCAATAGAGTTAGGAAGTTTAAAAAGGTTTTCAAGTGCACTAGTAGCAAAAACATCTTAGCAATGGTATTAATTAGTCATAGACGTGGTGTAGGGTAATCAGCTACAGAGGCAAAATGGGTTTGGTAAGCATGTCTTATCTAGGAAAGAAAAAAAAACCAAAAAATTGATGCTTAATCATCACAGATGCGTAATTATCACATACTAGTGATGAAAGAGGTTCCGTAACAAATACAGATTTGTGGAAAGGCAGTTGATAAAGTGCTCAGTTTGTAGAACAACTGGTCAAGACAGCTTGCGTTCAAGAATTTTGAGAAAATTGGCTGCAGATTTTTAAAAGACAGAAGTGTTGAGTAGCTGAAGAAATTCCAGAGAATTGGAAGAAAGTTTATGTTGCATTAGTATTTAAAAAAGGATAAGTGGAATGTGCTGGGTTTAGTTGTATGTACTGATAAACTCTCTACTCGTGTGAAGTATGTGACTACATAGTGTAAAGACTGCTGCCTTGACATCAGCACATGAATAAAAATATCAGGACACTTGATATGAGACAGCTAGAAAAAAGTCTATAATTGCTTGTCTATCAAAACATCTTATTTGAAAAGATGTTTTGTTGTAACATCATTTTTAAATGAATTCTCAAGTTTGAGAGAAGTCATGGTGTGAATGTAGGGCGTTCTATTTTCAGTCACATACTTACATTGATAACACTTGATACTGAAAACTGTATTGATAATCTGCTGATAGCATAAAGACTAAGATATGAAGCAATAAGTCAGAGTACAACTTGCCAGAGTAAAACCGTGTATCTGAAAGGCAAAGAATGAAGATGGAAAGGGTGGAAATGCCTTTTCTGAAATGAAATGTGCCAGGGAGAGATTTGATGTCACAGTGGAAAATCAGCTAAGAAGAATTTTTTTGACCAAAATGGCTGATGAGATTGTATCACAGATAAACAAGGAGATCTCAGGAGAGAGCTGAATGGCCATTCTGTATCACATGAGATTAGTGTGCACTGACGTTTGCCTTTGAGCAACAATCTTGGGAAATTGAGAGGGCTGTAAGAAGATCCCAAGATATTGCTTCTTATAATCAGCTTTGGTGAAACAGCATTTTGTCGTCTTGCTCCTCTTTTTGATCACTACTGCAATGTAACTGAGCAGAATACAGAGAGCAATGAGGTAAGCAAGGCACATGGACCAACTGATGAGCAAAGAATAAAGAGTTTAACAGCAGACAGCAGGAGATCACAGTGACGTTTTCAAGGTGAAAGGTTAACAGCTTGAAGTTGTAAATACTCATGAAGGAGGGAGAATATTTATTGAACGGAAGATGGAAGGTTTAGGAATAATTGAAAAAATACAAGGATAGATAGTAGACACAGAGTCTTCTCATTGTCTAGTCTGACTTCCCTGACAGTCAGATCTATTAGTCTGTACATTAACTCATTTCCTAAGAGAAGTAGTGAGAAATATTGAGTTGCTATTTTGATATTGCAGGGAGAAAATGCTACAAAATGCTCTAAATGAAGTTCCTATTTTGGCAGAAAGATGGGCTGAACTGGAGTTGGCTTCCCATCTTGAGTTCCAGAAGAGTTTTCTGTAGTTTTCTTTTCTTCTGCAAAGTAGCATCAGGATTCAGGAAAAATTTCAGCCCTGCAGGTGCCTGAATGCATTTTCTGTAAGATACTGAAAGAAATGGAATTACTTTCTGAGTGCTGGAGGCTTCTGGTTTTCTGGTGTTCTATTACAGAAAAAGCGATGGATTTGTGCTACGCTGTTAAGAGATCCCGTATTTTTTGCGGTGACAACTGAGTACTGTTATATTTACTGTTTCTCTCTGATCATTTTATGCTCCTTAATGGGAGGCTTAACCTATTTCCTATAACAGATTTCCTCTTCATCTTTGATTTCCTATCACTTAAATCATTGCCTTTTGCTGATGAAGACAGAGAAATCAGCTCGTTATACGAAATGGTCCTTATTATTTGTTTAATGTTGACATTCATGTCATATAAGATTGCAGACAAGCATGATGAGAGGATACGCTTGGAAGCACCTCTGGAACTCTTAGTTTCACAGAAAAGTGAAGTAAAGTTTCTGTTAGTGACTTTATCTGATAGATCTTCAGTACAGAGAGGCTGAATGAGCATGCAAGTAATTGAAATGTAAATAGACTGGAATATTATAAAACTACTTTCCAGATCTTATGCATGTGTTCATCACTGAGCTTTCTTCTGCTTCTTAGAAGCCAGGAATCTTTTGTAATGAGAAAATAAATGGGTGAATGCATATTTCTGTGAGCAGCTTCCTCGTGAAAGGAGTGGAGGGGCAGGCACTGATTCCTGCTCTCTGGTAATAGCAATAGGACCTGGGAGAACAGTGTGGAGCTGCATCAGGGAGAGTTGGGTTGGGGGACTAGAAAAGATTTTTCCCCAGAGGATGGGGGAGGTAGGCGTAGGCTACCCTAGGGCAATGATTGTTACACCAAGCTGCTGGAGTTCAAGGAGAGTTTGGACAACACTCTTGGACATAAAGTTTGAATTTGGTTGATCCTGTGTGGAGTCAGAAGTCAGACTGTAGATGGTCTTCGTGGGTCCCTTCCAACTTAAGATACTCTGTCCTTCTACTGATTTGCTGCAGCTTGATGGCTGCTCTAACTGTCCTTTCCTCAGCAGCACGTGAAGACTGACAAGCAGCTGTCTTTATGCTATAATAAAAGATGTAATTCTCATAATATGAAACGTTTTGTAGTGTTTTACTCCCTGTGGGATGCATGTTCATGCCTTTCATATTTTCTGAGATTTTGATCTTTTTTTTCCAACTCAACCAAACTTTAGAGCAGAACTCTAAGATTTGATATGAATAAAAATGCACAAATGCATATATATTGATGTCATAATATGATCAAATACCGTAATTATCAAGGAAGGGTTTTTTTTATTTATATGACAAAGGGATTTGTGAGATAGAGTAATGGAAGTAGATTAATAAGAACTGTATTGAGGAAGCTACATATTACTAGATATCAGCTACAAGGAAATTACCTGATTCCTTTGCAAGTCCCAGCCTTTGTACATGGCAGTAGGAAGAGATGTTTTCTGGATATGTGACTAATGCAAAGGTTTCATTAATGTTAGTTAATGTGTTTCCAGAATAAAATATATAGTTGCTGGCAGGCAGCCATGGGCCTGCTATTCAGCTGTGCAGTGGCTACAACACAGGCAGTACTGGAACACAGTGTCTATTTAGGAGTTTTATACTGATAAAAAGGATAGATAAAGAATTCCAAAGAGCATAATAGTAAATAAAATATTTTGTTGTAGAAGTGGCAGACTGTTTTGGACAGTATTACCTCTGTACATTGTGATGAGTGTGGATTGATACAATGAGGCTTTGATAAGTCTGTGTTCATGTTTAACAGTATGAGAGTATAGTTTTGTGTAGAAACATGAAATTCTTCTCCTGTTGTTTTTGTTTTGTTATAGTAGTTGTCTCCTGTTCTGGATCACATGAAGTAAACTCTTCTACACCAAATCCACCTGAGGAGTTCTCCCTGATAAGAAATAGGATGGTGTCATTTCGTCAGCCTTCTGAACCAGGTACCACAAGTCCTCTTCTTTACATTCGCCTTATATCTACATCAAAATCCAGGTGCAAGTGAGATGCTGGCAGTCACAAGGATCCTTCAGAAAGCAGCACTGAGTTCCTGGCTGGAAATAGCACAGTGACGCTGAAAGACCAGTGCAACCTTAGGGGAATTCTTTACTTCATTATTAAAATAAAATAAAATAAAAATCTTCTATATCATCACAGTGTAATACACCAGATTTGGGCTAAGGAGTTCTTTTAAACAAAAGCTATTTAGTAGAGCTATAGCAACCACAGAATGAAGTAGCTTTCTTGACACCAAATGAAGGTTTTTTCCAATTGGAGTTTTCAGTTTTCTAGGAGTTTTTAAAGAACAGTGAGCTGAACAAAAATGCTTGTGAGATAGGTAGGATGTATTTGGTCTTACTGCGTTGCCAGGATAAATGCCACATTTCATGAGCACTCAAGAGAAAGGAACCAGTTGTCATCAGTGGTGTGGAAATGTGGAAACTGAAGGGATGACTTTCCATTTAGTGAAATAATCACTTAGGAAGACCTCTTCAGGTCACCTAGTCCAATCCACTTGCTCAGGAAGGGTCACTGAAAGCAAGTTGCCTATGACCCCATTAGGCTTTCAGTACCTATGAGATGGCAAATGTACAACTTAAATGTGCAGCACGTTTCCAGTGCTTTACCACTCTCAGGTATTTTCTTATGTTCTGATTGAATTTCCTGTTGTTTTTTTTTTTTACTTTGTGTCAATTGCCTTTTTTTTTCCTGCAGTGGGCAATAGTGAGAATAGTCTGGCTTCCTCTCTGTTCACTCCCATTAGGTGTTTATATACATTGGCAAAAAGCTCCCATGAGCCTTCTCTGTGCCGAACAATCCCACTCAGTCAGCCTCTCTTCATAAATGGTCCACTCCCTCAACAATATTTATGGGCCTGTGTTGGACTCATTACAGCAAGTGTGTGTCTTTCTTGATACAGAGGAGGTGGGAGATACAGCCTGTTCCAAGCCACAGTGATATGTAACTCCATAACATTCATATTTCTCTAAATTCTGCATGCTCGATGGTGTGTGTAAACATGGTTACAGTTAAATTTAAAAATTAGGCAAACTTGTCTACTTTGTCTTTTGTATTCAAGAAGATGCTTTTTTTCCATGGCAGGTTTCATTATGTTTGTTTGGTTTTTTTTTTTTCCCCTGAAAGTTAGAGTATCACAAATCCTCTGGAGGCTCTTTTTATTTTCTTCTGTCCCATTTGGGTTGCCTGTGCAACAGCCTATCATTGTTATATTCCTGACCTTAATTCTATTCTTAATTCCTACCTTCTTTTCTTCCACGTAGTACAGCAACAAAGAGATAAAACTGTGTAATTTGTGAGTACAGGGTATGAATACCCTCTGAATGACAGGATCCCAAATATGAATATTCACTCTTACAGTTTCTCATATGGCCTGTGGGTCCTCAAGTTATTACTGTAATATTATTATTACTACTGAAAATAAATATTGTGCAAGTTAATATCAGCTTACTGTATCTATTCAGCTCCATTCTGTGTGGGAGAGCTTTGTACAGCTAATGTCTCTTCAAGGAGCTTGTATTAGATTGATGAGAGAACAGTGAATTACTTGTCTGGTTTATAATATGCTGATTATGAAAAATTCTGGCCAGGATGATCTAGTGTTCTTAGTGCTTGAATGGACTCTGGAGTTCTTAGGAGGGCATTCTTGTCTATCTTGCTGGAGAAAAGTAGAATGCTGGGGGAAAATAAAGAAAAGAAAAAATATATATATAAAGCTTGTTTTGCTCAGCTATTCTGCTTAAGATCTTAGGGCTTCCTTTGTTCCTCTCAGTTAAAATGCTAAATCCTTACAGTTTCAATATCCTTGCTGCAGTAGGTATTATTCTCATTCAGAATGTTATGTACTTAGGTTGCTCCAAAATAATGCCTCCAGTTTATTTCCATGGAAACTTACAATAGACACAAAGAGCACAGTAACACTATTTGATAGAGCAAATTCTCAGCTACAAAATGCTATTTTTCAAGATATTCAACACCATTAACTATGCACTGTTGTCAAAGCTGGCACGCTGCACTTGTAACTATCTGCACCAATGGAGCTGATGTACAGTTACTGCTGCCACTACCGAAGCGTATTACCCATTGCCTCCCTGTGCTCATATTCACTGTTTGGCCTCCATAACTTCAGCAAGTATCGATGAATGTCAATGGCTGTGATTTTTTTTCTCTGTGGAGGATTTCAATTACGTACTTTTGCTTCATACGCGTTTCTGTGTCAGACGCCATTTTGTCAGACTGCCCCTCTGCTGCCATCTATCATACAGTGATAAAAAGTAACAGAACATTGGTGGGAAGGTTCAACCTCTATTGCCATACCACCAACATCCCCATCTGGCTTTGTGGGCCAACAGTATAAAATATGAGGCGTTATCTTTGAAACAGCCCTTGTATCTGGGGGTTGACCATCCACTAATATAAATTCACTGTTGATACTGGTGGGAAGATGCTGATTTACATCTGCCAAGAATTTGCAGTTGTTTTTCTCTCAGGTATGTTCCTTCACCTGCTCTGGAAGAGATTCTTTGTTGTTATTGCATAAGAAGCTTTCTCTTTTCCATTCTAGTCTTTCATTTCTTGAGAGAGACTCCATACACCATAGATCTGCTCATTTATGCCCCTACATAGGCCTGCTACTTGAACTGGAGAAAGCCTGAATGAAAACTTTTGCTTCTCATGACAGAAATCTCTTGTATCATCACCTCAAGCTGCTCATGGATGACATCTACAGATAGTTTTGGAAGACCAGACTGGGTACTGTCTTCAGTCAGTGTCCTGGTATCTCAGGAGAGGCAGCAGCTGCTTCTGGAAAACAGCTCCTCCCAAGGAGGTGTTGAAGGTAGGCAGTTACAGTTTCCCCACAGTGAACATCTGCTTTCTCCCAGCACCAGTAATAGTAATAGCCCAGCAGCAATAGGATTTGACAGACTGAGACCTCAGTCACATATTTTTAAAAATACTGCCATATGCTGGTTCTGGTGTGCGACTAGTAGGTACATTGTCTGTGCCTAAAATACTCTATCACTGAGAGCCTTATAATCTGTATTATCCTTATATGTACTGCCTGCTTTGTGTATATGTGTACCCTGTATCTAGCCAGCTCATTTATATGCTCCTTTTATTGCTCTGTGTTTTAGCATTAGCTGCTTCTGCTTACTCGTGGATTTTTGTTACAAAACTCAATCCTTTACAAGCCAGGTCTGGCTCCTCATGTCTGCTGGCTGATTTGAGAAATCTTCAGCTTTTGTTTTGTTGGACGTATTCACTCTGCTTTGTTTGGTTTCTTCTCTTCTCATTCCTTCTATTGCTTCTAATGTATTTCCCTCCTTTACTTTAGTCTCCTTTCTTTTCTATCTGTTATTTATACTTGGTGCATAGTCCTCTGCTTTCTTCTTGAGATCTTTCTTCAAACCCTTCATCTGTTTTCATATTATTATAGCTCTTCCATCCACAATGTGTCCTTTTTCTTTTCTTTTTTTTTTTCTTCTTACAGGAGGCATTTTCCTTCTGAACATGAGTAGGCTGCCAGATAGATGCAAGTTCAGCCTGCACAGCCCAATCCTGCCTGGGAGCGTGGACTCTTGTTTGCTGGAACTAGCTGTATATTCACAGGATGCTGTTCCTCTCCTCCAGAGATTCACAGTTGAAATCAGATATGTGGACACTAACAGAAATATAATAATTTCTCTGAAAGTTGGCCATGAAGAGGATGCTGGGTAAGACAATCAATTTGCAGCTCTTTAGACTTTAAATTGCAAGGTAGGGTGCAGTCCCTCCTGGCCACTGTTTTTTAACATCTCTCTCCTTGAGATTATTGCTTTTGTTAGAGCAAAAAACGAAAGTAGAACTGTCAGGACTGAGTTGTGCAGCTTCCTGACAGGATGTCTGGAACAGACACAGGTTTTGTTTGCCGCCTTTGCAAAGAACACATCTAATTAGGAGTCATTCCTTCTCCCTCGTATTCAGGAGACGTGAGAGTGGCTGACTCCCTCACTGATTCTAGTGGTATAGAATTTCAAATGCACTCAGTCCAAAGGCTGTGTTGGTGAAATGACTGATATCTCTAAGTATTCAAGGGGTCCTGTTGTAGTCAGATTTTGAGAAGGGTTAATCCTGCCTCTTTTGTAATTTCTTCCTTCTGTCTGCTAAGCTCAGGAGCATCCTCTTTTGTTTTATCTGTAGAGTTCAGAGAATGGAAAAGCAAAGGCTAGAGGTGAGAAGAGGTAAAGGAAAAAAAAAAAAAAAAAAGGAATTGCAGCAACCCTGGATCTTGTCCTGCATTTTGTACTCTTTGATCTGTTCCACATTTATTTTTTCATTCCTGCATGAAGCAGAATGCAGAGAGGAGAAGAAATGGGTAAAGGGAATGAATCACAACAGGAAAAGAAGGAGAAAGGTCCACGTGTCATCTGATTTTGCCATTTTCCATGTGCTTGCTTTTTCCTTTGCTGCAGTCTGTCTTGTAAAAACCTGGGTCAGGCACACAACAAAGTTTTTTTATTTCCATCACCTGACTGACTCTCGTGAAGAACTTAAGCAATAGATCCCAGTGCTTGTTTTCTTTGAATTCTTTGGCACTTCTCAAGCTGCCATGGAGATCTTCAGCCAAGACTTCTGGTCAGCCAAAGACAGCAGAGGTTGACTAAGAAAACTTACTTTACTTCAAATCCATCTCTCACTCCTACTTTTAGCTATTGCTCACTTCCTTCCTGGCTACTCCTTCCTTTTCTTTTTGCCAGTTTCACAAGGAATCTGTAACATTTTCTGGGATAAATTTCTAACCTCCTTTTTCACCTGCTTTATGTACTTGACAAGCCTCTACTTGCCTAAACAACTGCAGCCATAATTCCCCAGAATTAACTCATAAAATACCCTTTGAGATACCTACCTGCCCAGGACAGGCTTTGATCACAAACAGTGTAGCATTTCTGAAATGAACCATAGTCATTGTTTAAGAGCTTATTTGAGCACTACAAAAAAATTCTACATAAAATTATTGTCTAAATTATTGTCTGAAAGTGATGTTATTTACACACCTTGGAATGGAATTAGTGTCACTGGAAATTGGTATGAACATTGGTATTACTTAGTGAAACGAAGCACTGGTAAGAACTGAGGCTTTAGTTTTAAGAATGTAAAGGTGGAAGGTGATTGCCTCCTATTCTGTGTCAAAATAGAAAGGAGGGGAAGGAAGAAGCACGAGATAGTTAAGAACAATTTTAGGTCAAATATTCTTACTTTACCCTATCTTTTTGGTTCTCTGCACAGTTCCAGAAAAATTTGTATGTTCGGGAGAACAAAATTTATTTCTACAGTGTTTGAGCTGCTTCTTATTAGGGAGATACTCTGAAATAAGCACTTTTTCTGCGATTAAGATTTAAACAGTACTGGTTATTAAGAACAGAGACCATCTTGAAACATTCCCACTTTCCAGAGGGAGCAGAAGTCATACACACTTTCGTGTGTTACCCAATCCCAGCTGCACAATTTGTAGAATAAAAGGAAGATAATGAGGAAATGACCTAGAGATAGATGCCTATGTCTATTACATATTTTAATCTTCAGTTGCTACTGGGAGATCATCTTGAAGTCAGAGTGAAAAATGAGAAATGGAAAGAAGGCTAGATATCATCTTTTCAGATAATTAATCCAGAAAATCCTGCTTCAGTCTTCTCTGTCATCTTTTAATTCCAAAATCAAGCTGTGCTTCATCATGAATTCCAGCAATAGTAAATCACTTCAGTGAACTGTCCTCTTTCTGGTCCTGGAAGTCTTATGCTGATTGTGTTTCCTCCTTCAAGGTCCATCAGCTACACAGTTCTCTAAAGCTCAGAGATATGTCACTCATTAGAAAAAGTCCCAACCACCTCTGTTAGGTTTGATCTGTAGTATTGAAGCTGCCACCCATTTTTTTGCAAATGCACTGTAGCAAAAGAGAAACAGACAGACCTTTTGGCACTAAGTTCCCAGATAAGTAGGACAAGCTCATATTTTTTTACTGTTATTTTATGCCACACCTATAACATATGAGTATTCTGAGCTTCTCGATTAGAGGGAGAGTCGCTGTGGGAGTGAGGTGTTTGAAATTCTACGTATTTACAAAAGATATATAAAATTATGTTTGTTATTATCTCAGTAGAGATCAAACATCAAGTGCCTGCATTTTTGTTTGCAGGCCCAAGCTTTCTTAATCTGGTTCTTGGCTCAAAGCTATCTTCATTTCTCATGGTTATGGTCCTGGTGCTTGTTCAGATCACTGATAATGACTTTATGACTACTTTGCTTACCCTATCTTTTTCCTCATTATCACACAGAGCAAAAAAACTAGTCACACCTGAAAACTCGTGTGAAAAGTCTTATGTGGTTTTGTTTTGAATGATTTCATTTGCTTGTATTTGTGGTTGACCACAATTGTTTCAGTGTTGTCAGCCAAAACTATTTCAATAATGGAACTTGTTTATTTCAGCTCTAAAAACTCAAACTTCAATGAGAATAAAAAAGCACTGCTTGGGGCAGTGATAATCTTTTCCCTTTACATGATAGAGTGTGATCAGTAAGCTGGCCTTATTGTTTTCTGTTTTCTTTCTAAAACAAAGTACTGGCCATGGTACTCCCGGTAGTCCAAGAAAGAATGAGTTCAAGGCCACGTGCACAAATGGTCATCAGTTAGCCAATCTCATGAAAGGATTATTGCTTAGTTTTCCCTATCTTTACTGCTTTTTTTTTTCCTTTTTTTTTTTTTTTTTCCTTTTTTGGAGCAGACCTGCTAAAATGCCCTGCCAGCTTTTGCAACTCCTATAGGAACTTATCCTCTTTGAGACTCCTCTTCACCCAGTCTGGGTGTCCTATTGTCAACAAAAGTTCTTTAACTTTAGCTCTTGTATGTAGAGGAATTGTGATATAGCTGATTTGAATGTCTGGAAACACCTAAGGTCATTTGGAATTTATAAATTAGGTGTCCAACTCCATAAGCCTTTGAAAGGGAATAGTCTGGTAAGTGTCCTCAGAAAATGCCTAATACATACTGACAGCAATGAGCACAGCTATTTGAATTAAAAAATAAAGCTACAAAAGGAGAGACTGCACTGCTGTTATGAAAGACTGATTTTGATCACTAACCTAGGAATATGGTTTACTGACTCTCATGCACCAAATTGCACCAAAAATTTTTCTGGGCCAAGAAGGACAGATCTGTAGCTGGTTAGTAAGGGCAGGAGTTGCAGGCCTATGTTCTGTCATCTGTTTCTTCTTGCATCCGATGACTAGCTTCATATATGTGGAAAAGAAATGTAAAGCTTCTAATTTGTATGTTCTTTGATAGTACCTTGAGGCAGTTAGCATAACTTTCTGCAGTAACTCCTGTAGTGGCCTCCAGTTCAGAAAAGGTTTCAGCTTTCACGTTAGGGATTTTTAATTTGTCACTCTTAATGAAGAAATTGTACTTAATAATAAAATAATCTTTCTTAAAATGCACAATCTGTTAATTGTGTTGGAGATGGAAAGGCATAGCAAAGATTGGTAAGAAAAGGAAAAGCTTTTGTTTAGCCTAAGCTAGTGAAAATCAAAAATGGAAATTGTAGGTTAGCAGGGCAAATCTAAACTTCTGTTGCCTTAGGCGTCAGATTGCTTGCAACTCCAAACTTTTTATCTGTGTAAATTTCTCCAAATGATGTCAGATTCTGACAGCCCTTCTATACATACAGAGCAGTTTTAACATCTGTACTTAGAAGAAGAATATTACCTCATTAGTCGAGATCTGGCTTGACATAAAATCGATAGTAAAGATATTGCCAAGCTTGGCTTATCTGAAAGCTTGCTACAATGATCCATCTTCTTAGTAGCTCAACAATGGGCTTTGTTCCTGATTCCATTAAGAAAATTAAGTTGGTTCTGACTATCCTTTGCTCAGATGCTGGGACAAAGCAAATATTTACCATGTTAGAAATCTTGTTGCTGTTGTATGTTGAGGAAGGGGGTTTGTCTGAGTGGGAATGCCTTGATGATGATGAGACTCTGTACGTCCAAGAATTCTGGGTGATAGAAAGTTGCTTGTTGTTTTTGTGGACTCTGGATGCTTGCAAGCTTTTCCAGTGGTGGTGTATAAATGGACTAAAATTTCAGTGTTAATATCTTTCAGTGCAGAACTGGAATATTTCATGGGACCTTAGGGCTCTGATTCAAAAGAGCTGCCAGTACACATGAACAGTGGTTTAAGATATTAGTCTTCTCTCAGAGGCCCACTGAGACCTAGTGTTCTTCTAGTGGCAGGGAATACGGTGCATCTTTCTCAGATGTGATGTTTCAGAAGTTGGTTTATTGACTTAGCCAGTGGTTGTACTTCATTTTGAAATACTAGGCTGTAAACTGCAAGATTCAGAGTGTGTGGCTTGTAAACCATATACAATTAAGGTGCAGAAATGAAGCGAGTCATTGTTTTCAGCTGTGGGCAGTAATCTCTTTAGTTGCTAACATAAACATAACACCAGTTGTGAATCATGGGCTGGCTGCTGTGGATTCCTGTGCTTAGGATTATGATAACAGTGGTGATGCTTAGGGGCTGTGTTGTAGCTTGGTGGAGGTAGTGGAACTCATTGGTTAGAAGGTCTTGTATGCTTAGTAGGTAAATGCAAAAGATGCAGAGACTGTCCTCATCTCCAGTGGCTTGTTGAACCAGTTAGTTTAAGGTCCACTGATTTTTTTGAGGCCAAGTGGATGCAATGGAATGATGAACAAAGCATTGTCATTTTTGTTTGTTTGTTTTTAAAGATTGTTAGGAATATTGTAGGTTTTTTTTATCTACACCTGGGTACCCTGACTCCTGATAGACTGATTTGAGTGAGATACATTGAAAATTCCCATTGAATGTCGTTGTCTAGCTTTCAATGCCTAGCAACCATCTTCAAAATTAGAGTGCATGCCACCATCCATCTTTCTCTGAACTGCTACAATCACTCTACAGTTGAGATATTTTTGATGTCTCAGAGTTATGCTGTATGTTGTGTGGAGAAATGTAAGTTACAATAGGAGCTGAGAAAAAGATAACTGAATATGAACTTTTTAGGTAGAATGTCATTTGTTTTAAATGAATGCTATGTTGTACTTTATATTCAATTCCTTCCCCGTGTTAATACCATCGCTTCTATTTGGTGCAGTATAGAATCTGTGCTAGATATTCTGTGGACTCCAGCATGCTTTTTGTGCATCTGATATCTCCTTGTTGTATTCTAGGGTGAAATGGAAATCCATGATGGCTCAGATTGGCCGAATAGAAAGACCTTTTAAAATCACCTTGCTGTATTCAAACTGTGGAGCACAAGAGGCTGGACTCCTGGCAGTGGGCTCCTTGCAGCTCACAAACTGCTTCCATGGTACGTTGCAATACAGTCAGTTTTGGAATAATCAAATGCAGTCATAAAAGAGAGCAGCATCCTCATAAAAAATGGTGAGCATGATTAAAGATTTGGTTAGATAAGACATACATGAAAGCTGCGTGCCCTCAATGATTTTTGGCAGTGCTTACCTGTCAAGGGTCATATTTGAATGTATTTTGTGTGCACATGTGCACACGCTCAGAAAGCAGAGTTGAAGTGCAAAATTGAACTGATTTTGCACAGAATCACAGAATGGCCAGGTTTGGAAGGGACCTCAAGGATCTCCAACCCCCCTGCCACATGCAGGGCCACCAACCTCCCCATTTAATACTAGACCAGGCTGCCCAGGGCCCCATCCAATCTGGCCTTGAACACCTCCAGGGACGGGGCATCCACAACCTCTCTGGGCAGCCCATTCCAGCACCTCACCACTCTCTCTGTAAAGAATTTCCCCCTGACATACAGCCTAAATATCCCCCTCCTCTTCTTAAAACCACTTCCCCTTGTCCTGCAGTTATCAACCCTTTCAAAGAGTTGATTCCCCTCCTATTTGTAGGCTCCCTTTAGGTACTGAAAGGCTGCAATGAGGTCACCCCACAGGCTTCTTTTCTTCAGGCTGAACAAGCCCAGCTCCCTCAGCCTGTCCTCACAGGGGAGGTGCTCCAGTCCCGTGATCATCTTTGTGGCTCTCCTCTGGACCCTCTCCAACAGCTCCCTGTCTTTCTTGTACTGGAGGCTCCAGAGCTGGACGCAGTATTCGAGATGGGGCCACACAAGAGCAGAGTAGAGGAGGACAATCACCTCCCTGTCCCTGCTGGCCACTCCTCTTTTGATGGAGCCCAGGATTCCATTTGCCTTCTGAGCCGCAAGGGCACACTGCTGGCTCATGTTAAGCTTTTCATCTATCAAGGCCCCCAGGTCCTTCTCCACAGGGCTGCTCTCAAGGACCGCTCCTTCCAGTCTGTATGGATGCCTGGTATTCCTCCAGCCCAAATGCAAAACTCTGCACTTTGCCGTGTTGAACCTCATCAGGTTCACCTGGGCCCACCTTTCCAGCCTGTCAAGATCACTCTGAATGGCATCTCTTCCTTCTACTGTGTCAGCCGCACCACTCAGCTTGGTGTCGTCAGCAAACTTGCTGAGGGTGCACTCGATTCCGTCATTGATGTCACTGACAAAGATGGTAAAGAGCACCGATCCCAAGACAGCCCCTGGGAGACACCACTCATTACCGGCCTCCACCTGGACATAGAGCCATTGATGACCACCCCCTGTCTGCGTCCTTTCAACCAGTTTCCTATCCACTGGGTGGTCCACCCATCAAATCCACATCCCTCCAATTTGGAGATAAGGATGTGGTGGGGGATCATGTCAAAGGCCTTGTTCAAGTCCAGGTATATGACATCGGTCGCCTTCCCCTTGTCCACTGATGCCGTCACTCCATCATACAAGGTCACCACATTGGTCAAGCATGACCTTCCCCTCATGAAGCCGTGCTGGCTGTCTTGGCTCACACGCTCATTCCTCATGAGATCAAGCTTGTCATCCAGGATGATCTGTTCCATGATCTTCCCAGGTACAGAGGTGAGACTCACTGGCCTGCAGTTCCCAGGCTCCTCCTTGCTCCCTTTCTTGTAAATGGGAGTGATGTGACCCTTCCTCCAGTCATCCGGGACCCCACCTGACAGCCACAACTTTTCAAATATGATGGAGAGCGGCTCAGCAGCCACCTCAGCCAGCTCCTTCAGAACCCTGGGATGCACGCTATCTGGCCCCATAGACTTGTACACATTCAGTCTCATGAGGCGGTCTCGGACCTGCTCTGTCCTCACAGTGGGGGGAGTTTTACCACCTCGGTCCGCACCTAGAGGTTTAGGGATGCAGGCCTCAGGGACGTGAGAAGAACTGGAATCTTGGCTACCAAGTGAAGACTGAGGCAGAGAACTCATTCAGTACCTCAGCCTTCTCTTCATCCGTGGAAGCCAGTTCTCCTTTACATTTACCAAAGGAGCACACTTGCTGTGGCCTGTCTCTTCTGGCCAATGTACCTGTAGAAAGTCTTCCTATTGTTTTTCACGTCCCTCGCCAAGTTCAGTTCTGCCTGCGCCTTGGCTTTCCTGATCCCATGTCTGCAAGTCCGGACGGCATTCCTGTAGTCTCCCCAGGTGACACAGCCTTGTTTTCCGAGCTTGTATGCACCTTTCTTCGCCCTCAGTGTCCTCAGCAAGTCCTTACCGAGCCACGCTAGCTTCCTACCTCCTCTGCCCGCTTTCTTATTCGGAGAGATGGAGAGCTCTTGTGCTCTCTGGAAGGCATCCTTGAAGAGTAGCCAGCTCTCCTCAACATCTTTGTTTTTAAAGACAGCATCCCAGGGGATCTTGGCCAACAGTCCATTGAACAGCTTAAAGTTCCCTCTCCCAAAGTTCAGGGTCCTGATGCCACTCTTTGCCAGGCCCACATCCCTCGAGATCACAAACTCAACTGGGGTGTGGTCACTGCAGCCCCGGCTGCCTCCAATTTGCTTTGCACTAACGCTCATACAAATGTATAAGAAAGTAACAGGGCTCATGCTGGATTCAGCAATAGGGATGGAAAGAAGTCTCTGCCTAGGATATTTTAGCTTTTACTGTTTTTCTTTTTCAAATAGTAACAAAAGGCTACCCAGTGTCACTACAGCTTTTTCTGTGCTGGGGCTCTATCTTGCAAATTTATGAAGAAAAGCAACTCTGGTGTGCAGTCTGTGGTGTCTATTTACCACTGCCTGGCTCAAAACTTCTGTCCAAAATGAAAATAATTTGAATGTAATTTATGCAAAGTACTGAGTGCTCAGCTCAGAAATGATCGATTTTACCTACCATTTTCAGACCTGTTGCCAAGGTCATGCAAGTGATCCTCCGTACATATGCAGAACCCTGCTAATGTCATTCAGGCTTCTGGGAAGTGTATGAGTCTGCTGGTGCAGGCAGCCTGTAAGTTGGAGACATAATCATCTTCACTTCCTGGTTTTCATCCATTAATATAATGCTATTGCTTCTGTTTTGCAGACACTGTAGAATTAGCTTTGAATAGAAATGTAAGATCTAGAAAGTTTCAAATGTAAGAATACTTCACAGTGCTGTTTCATCATATATCATGAGATTGCTTTAAATCATACTAGAGATTTAATTTTATTGCAGTCAATCTTTTAATTTAACAGATAATATACTTTTAATGCAATGCTTTTCACAGTCTTGGAATTTTTGAGGGGATGCACACAGCCTGAAGCATTGTGCTAAATCTCCAAAGTGCCCTTAAACAAGCTGTTGCATGTACCCAACACAACACAGTACCCTGAAGAAATGATGTTTCAGATGTTCTTTCATCCTCCTCCTGGGGTTTTCTTTCTAAGCTCTGCGTTTTTTCCAGAGCAGTAACAATTGTAATGGAACATCTGTGCAGAGCTCTGCTAACAGGGAACAGGTCCAGAAGAGACTTTCACACACCTGCAGATCCACAACAAATCTGTGCACGCACATATCCACAGGACAGGCTTGGTACACTGAGTCATGATTTCAGAAAATGTCACACTTAAAAATTGTATGCAGCCTGTTGGTGAGTACTCATGTGACTAGTTCAGTACTCCTGGAGTGTAGCTGGAGAGGCAGGTTGGGGTGCATGAGTGAGCCGGCCTGCTGAGGAAACACCTTTCATCACAGGGTGGATGCCACAAAGATGGCATAACAATATGTCAGCAACACAAGTATTAATTGAGCCTGATTCTCGATTGGCCATAACAACGTGTCCATCAGGCCCAGAGCTAAGTGCACATTGCTGCCTCCAGCAGCAGTGTCGTGCAGCATGCCTCTGCTGGCTGACAGGTGCATGATCACGTGTGCAGGACAGAAGAATCACAGAATTACAGAATCACAGAATTGTAGGGGTTGGAAGGGACCTCCAGAGATCATCAAGTCCAACCCCCCTGCTAAAGCAGGTTCCCTACACCAGGTCACACAAGTAGGCATCCAGGCAGGTCTTGAACATCTCCAGAGAAGGAGACTCCACAGCCTCCCTGGGCAGCCTGTTCCAGTGAACTCGCCATATAGAAAAATGTAGGATCCTCAGTAAAAACAAAATAAAAATCTGATTGCCTGAAGATGGCACAAACACAGCAGAAGCTAGTGTGTGCAGGAGAGAGTAAGGAGCAATGAATTTGGTCTGTGTGAGAGCTGAGGCAATCTTGGGAATCTCATGCTGGATAGGAACCTGCATGACAAAGAGCACAGCTAAGTATCATTTATCACCCAGAGGACGATTTCTGAGGTCATGTGTGTGAAGGCTGATGCACATGCAGGAATATATACATAAACTCTGCTGATTCATCTCTGAGCTTTTTTTTTTTTTTTTTCTTTAGATAAAGAAAACCCAGATCTTTCTATATATAACAAAGGCTCTTCCTTCCCCTGCCTTCACGGAGGCTGTGTTAGCCACTTACAAATCTGTGAATTCATCAGTGATTGCCCTACCAAAGAAGTAGAAGGAGTAAGATGTGGTGAGTGTATGGCATGGCATTTCGTGGGAACCTTCATCCTGTTACAATAATCAGTTTAGAATAAAATACAGGTTAAATTGATTCTATTTCTAGATTAATTCATTATTAAGCCTCCTATAATAATTTAGACTGTTTTTATTATTTTATTATCAAGATTTTTCTTGAAAATTCATTCCATATAGGATAAAATTGATTTATTATTATTTTTAATATTGCAATAAGACATTCAGTGACCTGTGTTTCATAGTGACTGCTGCTTCAGAGGAAAGCAAAATCTTATTTACACATTTATGGCTGGTGGATGAGAAACTACCAACAGGATCAATCACAAAGCTGTCCTTCCTAGATGTGCAAGTTCTCATCTTGCATATCCTGACAAAGAAAGACTCTAAAAAAGTACATTTAGTACTGAGAAACATTATTTGTTTGGGTGTTTTGTTTTTTTTTTGTCAATTATAGTGACAAAGATCTAGAATAATCTGTTGACTGCCTTTCGCAGAAAGCCTCATGATGTCTATAATTTAATATACAGTAGGGCTTTTACAAATGTGTGGAGTGATTTACCACTCTTGACTGTGGGAGTTGCTGTTTTCAGTGACAGAACTGCAGTGTAACAGCTCCAGTAGCAAAAAAATGTTGACTTTTTTGATGACTATGGAAATAAACAAATGAGACCTGTTGATATTCTGACACTGAAAGACAGTATAAGTGGGATAGTTTCAAGAACTATAGTAAATTTTGACTTTTTCTGCTGTTTGCCTTCTTCCATAATCAGGTTTCTTCTATTTTCCTGCATTTTCTTATGGTCCATTGTAGATAGTCTCCCAGAAGGTTCACATTGCTCTTTTGAAGAGGGTTCATGTGGCTGGACACTGAATGAAACTGCAGCATTTCCTTGGTCTATCAGTGGCTTTAATGAAATGATTCACAATGGTTCATTTGTAGGGTCTACCTTGCAAGCCACTGCAGGTAGGGTCTTCGTAGTTCTTTCTTAGTCTGCCTTTCTGTGAGTGCATGTTTTATGTGTGCCTGTACAAGTGTGCCAGCATGCATGTGAATAAGTCTTCAACTTAGGGGTGTGGGGTTTTTTTAATTAGTTTAAAATGTTTGGCATTCTTCTTTCCAAAACAAATTTATCATCAGTATTATCTAGAATAACTTTAAATGTATTTATTTAAATAATTTTAAAGTTTAAAACTAACTTCTGATCACAAAACAAAACTTCATATGGAATCTTTTATGGAAAATTTATCATAGAACTTTAGGAGTCTAGAATGTCTTCACCTTTGAAAAGAATTATATGATGAATTCTTTCCCCTCTGTATATACCTCTTCCCTCCTTGCTCTTATGAGATAGGCAATTGCAGAATACTTCAGCTGCAGCATCACAAAGTAAAAATTGCCTTACAAAACTAAGCATCTTGTAAAACACAAATTTTTTGGAGACTCTTGTCAGACTCTGCTGGTGGGTTATAAAGAGAATCACATCTAAGTCTGTCCCAAGATGAAGTGATAATAAACATTTTGTTCTGTAGAATACCACGGGGGGGGGGGCGGCAACAAAAAGAAAAGAAGGTCTGATAATTCCCAGAACTGTCTGCTTTTTTAAATAAGGAGGGAAGCCAAATTCTGACATGTTCATACTTGAAGTCAGAAGCTGAGTTTTGATTCAGTTCCCTATCAAAGTAGAGAGTGCTCATGTGAGAGTCCTGTTTGTCTCTTGAGAGCTCATACAAACTCTTAATAGGAACAAAGACTATAAATAAGCTCTACTGGCACCATATTTGTCTTAGCAAGTTGTTGATGCTCATGGTGTAAGTATTAGGGCTGATCAAAGAATTCAGAGTAGACTGCTGTGAACCACTGTATGGAAATGTACTTGAGTGGCTCTGAGGTTTGGACACTCTACTTGTGTTGCAGAGAAGGGTTTGGGATATTGACTTTTGTGTTGCTGAAATCTACTAGTGTATTCACTGTAGTTTGCTAATAAATGGACTCTTAAGCCTTGTTTCTGTCATGTCCTCCTACTTACACTGTGCTTCAGAACAATGATGTTAAAGTATTTTGAAAGTATTAAAAAATATATATTTTTTCTAATTAACTTTTCTGTCCACAGGACACTTCCTCTATCTGCGAGCAGATAGCAATCAGACAAATGGCATCGCCAAGGCTTTCAGTACCAGCTTGCCAGCTGGTATTGCTACTGAAGATTACCAGGTATCTCCTTCTGCCTAAGCACCTTTTGGAGCTAATTCTCAGGCTGTACACTGTTTTTGCAATGTGCCTCTGTGCAGTGTATGATACACAACAAAGCACTTTACTGTACTAGGAGTATACTGCCTAACTAGCTGCTTGTTCAACGCTAGAAAGAAGAGAGGAGGGGCATTCCCAGTAAATAAGAGCAGCAGTGCTGAATTAGCTCTTAAATACAGAAAAGCTCCCTAGCTTGGGTGTATAGACCATTCCCCTGAAGTGTACCCATGCCTGAATTGTACTGGATGGCCTTAGACTGTAGGAGAGAGAGTTGGCCGTCTGAGCCTGTTCAGCCATTCAGTATGCATGCTGCTGAGACTTTCTTCCTAAATTCTGCATGATTTTGGGATGGATTAGGAGCATGAAATCTGTGGGGCATTAGACCTTCCAGGAATAGATAAAGATAATAAACTGTTCGTGTTCTTCAGAAACTTCAACAGATGAAGCCAACCTGGTGTGGATAAAATCACATATCCTGCCTTCAGCCTAGATCCCTGCAAAATGTAAGGGGAGCTTCAAGATGCTGAAACCAAAAATATTTAAATAATGTTGCACTCCTATCACTTAGGAAAATTAAGTTGCAAGCTTGATCTGGAGTCCAGCTCTGCCAGGGGAAAACAGAAAGCTTTGATGCCTCCTAATTAGAGCTGGCAAAAGAAATACAGTGCAGGTGCCAAAAATATATCTTCACCATTTATATTTATAAATTCAGGTTAAGTTTGCTGAATAGTTCCAACAAAATAAAATGTGCCTGGAGCTAGGTTCACAAAACTAGGAGCAGTAAGTGTTGGTCATGGGCATCATACAGGAAATCCAGACCCAGTCTCTCCTTCACTGACACAGATTTGAGTACCCATTTAAAGAGCAAGGAACTTCTGTTGTTGTGTACATGTGTGTGTACTCCATCTCCTGATTGAGCTCTCCTTAATACAAAGAGCAGCTGAGTGCTCCAGGCATCACTGGAAATGGCAGTTTTCTCTTGATCTGTGACAAACTGTCAGTGGTGCCCCACAGAGAGAGGAAGGAGTCCTGCTTCAAAATATTCTTTGGTCTGCTGATCAGATTGCTTACCTGCCACATCAGTGCTATGGTTCAGGTGGTGTCTATGACCTGGGGCAAGTATATAGACTGGAGTTTCCTGTCTGTGGAGATGGCCTCTTTGCTCATTTCCTGGGTATTTGTGGCAGGGTAGTCCTCTCCTTGCAATAGTTTTGTGCTATATAATGCTTAGGTATGAATTGAGCCACACCAGTGCAACACATTAATATGAATGATTACAATGGGAAACCTTAGAAGATTTGAACTCTTTCATTCTTTTGACAGGAGTCTTTTGGCTGGTGAGAACTCTGAGAAAGAATGTATTTAGGATTGCTTTTCTGCAGTACTCCAACCCTAGTAGAAACATTTAATGATAAAGCTTTTCTTGACTTTAAGCTTGTGTTCCTCTGCTTTGTTACTTATTGCTCCTGAAGAAGATAACAATCACCCAAATAATATCTGAGGCCATTGATATAGTTGTTAGAGCCTGAGAACACAAGTGTCAGTTGAGGTCTCCAACAAGAAAATTCTGTGCTAGGAACAACGATGGAATCACACAAAAGCACTGGGGGTGTTAGTGGTATGTGTGATTAAAGCTTGAGCCACAGTTTCATATTCCGAAGGGGGGAGTAGTAAGTACTATCTCCTATTTATCAGAGGATACTATTCTTTTTTTCTTTTGCTCTGTTACAGATCCAATTCTCAGTGCATGTTTTTGGCAGCTACAATGGTACCATCTCCTTCTCTGTCAGGGAAGAAAAAAATGGAGTTCCAGTTACCTTGCCAATGTGGGAAAGAGCAGGGAGCTGGAGTGATCATTGGTTTCTCATCACTTTACCAATGCCAGTGCTTCAGAACAGGTAAGAACACCATCAGCAGCACCCAGAGATATCCCTACAGATTTTGTAAATTATTAGGGCCTTCATTGAGAAGTATCACTTTCATTTTTGCCTTTTTCCAGACCTATTACTACTGACAAAATTAGAGGAGTACAGCAATTCTGCTTGCTGAGGAAGTCTTCTGTCTTCCTCCTCCATTCTGTGTCAGTCAATTTCAAGCTATGAAATGGTGTTGACAGCAAGTTATTCTGCACAATACAAATCATTTTTAAATTGCTCCAATCTGTTTCTTGCATTTTCCTCAAGCAGGTCTGTCTCATATCACACTTAAGACCAAAAAAAAAAAAAAATCAATCTCAAACTCTATGTGATATTATAAATGTAAAAAGATCTACCTACTATTGGCATTAAGTATTGTCTTAAAACTTCATGGATTAGAGGGTTTGAGGGGATTGCTTTTAACTGGAAATGTTCTCAGCATCTTTTTGTAAAAAGCTAAGGGATTTGGGTCTGAAGTGGTAGCAATTCAGATCCAATCAGCAGCAAAACAGGAAGCGGGGAAGGAGAATGTTATCCCACCCTTTTTCCTGCTTTAGTTTTGTGATTACCTTTGGTCACAGCTTCAGTGTATGCTTCTCCAGAATACCATAGGTCTGCAAACTGGCAGTGTAGTATATGTCCTTGCCTGACAGTCTGGAGCCCTGTGGATAAGCATGTGTTTAGTTCTGTGTATTTAAAATATGACCAGTGAATTTGTCCAGAATAGCTCTTTCCCTCAGGCATTTTCATTTGGACCTAGCCGGAGCAGAGTCTTTTGGGCTTTTTGAAGTTGTTAAAGAGCTTCTGCTTCCTCTAATAAATGGTCCCCTATTTTTTTTTTTTGTCTGCAAAGCCTCCAATTTTTGTGTCAGACCTCAGTTCTGAAGGGAAATTGATCTGAAGGGAAATGGATGTGGCAGGATGGAAAGGACACCAAATGGCTTTAGGGAGCACTAGCCAGCACTTTCTGAGGACTTAAAAGAAAAAGAAAAAAAAAAAAAAAAATTCCAGTACTGTTAAACTTGAGATAGTTGAACATCCAGACAAAACAAAAAGGTAGCTCATGTGTGCATGTTTCAAACTGAATGAGGGAAAGTCCCTTCCAACTCAAACAATTCTATGATTCTATTACAGTCTGTCCCTGCCCTCCTGCTTCCTACTCTCCTGGTCAATTCTCGTGCTATTTGATTTAGATGACCCCAGACCTATCATCAAAGTTTATTCTCAATTTTTCTACTCCATTGCCTACTTGTTTCTTTCTGTAAATCACAGGCCCATATGTTTATGTCCTAGCTCTGGAAACCAGTTTAGCTAATTTTTCTCCTGTTTGTCCAGATTCAGTAAAAGAAAAAATGGGTACAAAAGAGGGGGAAATATGTGCTTTTTAGCACTATCTTGTCCAAACAAACTCACTTTTTAGGAGAGAAAAACACACAATTTGTTGATCAGCATCCCAGCTGGGCACTTGGAAATCTGTTCCTGGTGGTCAGCTGGCAGGTTCTCTCACTTGGTTCACATACACAAGGAAAAAATGTTGCTATCAGAAGAGAAGCAGGCAGACAGGAGACCAGACAGAAGAGAAATTGAGAAGGCTATATGTTAGAGTCAATAAAATGAATTCAATGAGCAGGGACACTGGAAACCCCTCTGGCTAGCAAGCACAGAGTTCAAAAGGCAAATTCTTCTTTTTCTGAAGTTAGAAGGAATGGGAGGCATACAGAGCCCAGCACTTGTGAGATATCTCTTCTTATGCACTTGGGGATGAGAGTCATTCCCCAGGTACTCACTTATACTCAGCTAGAACAGAAATTGATCTTACAGCACAATGTCATGGTCCTTCTGTTCTGACTATGGACCAGATGCAGTATCTTGACTGGACTAAGGGTATGCTGACGTGTCTTTAGAAAGGATTAAACTGTGATGCTCTATCTTTGGCCTAGAAGTCTCTAATTCTGGGCTCAGGTTACTGTGAGTTTTATCGTCCATCAAACACTCTGGCTAGTTGCTGCATTGGACTGATGTGCAAGGTCTGAAAATGCAGAGGTACTGCTGAAAAGAGAGGCTTCTGTAGGAAGGTGATTCCCATTGGGTAAACTCCTCTGCTAACCGCATTGCTAAGAGAGTGATCATCCAAGGAACATGTTATTAGAATTTGCTGTGCCAACACTTATTCCCAGAAGGTTCAGATCCTGTATGTATGAAAGCTTTTATTTGATGCACAAGGGACTATTCTTGAGAATCAGAATCTTCAAGATTCAACTTTACAACATTATATTAACTGTGGATGCCAGTTTGTGGTTTATGCAGGTGCCAGAGCACTGGCACAGTCTGCCCACAGAGGCTGTGGGTCTCCTCCTTAGTGATACCCAGAAACCTCTGGGCATCCTGCTCAGAGTGTCTCTGCTTGAGCAGGGGTTGGGCCATACACACAGGTGCCTTCCAATCTCAACCACTCTGTGATTCTGTGATATGTATCAACATTTGTTTGGTGGACGGAATATGCACGTTGTACTTTACTGCCAGTAATTTGGGACAAGAAAGTACTGATAGGCAGGTCAGTACTTCATCATAAATCATGATGAAGCGTTGTCAGTGACAGCAGTAGAGGTCTTCTCCATGTGTCTTTAATAAGCTGTAAATAGGCTGGACATCAGGCGTCTGTTTATTTCTGAAGTTTAATGAAAAACAATTTACTCCTATCTATTAGAAGAAGGTCCTTCTGTTCATTTTCCTTCCTTCTTCTAAATTCAGAATGTGGCAATGCTCATGGGGCATGACAGGCTTCTAGATAAGTAGTTAACATCTGGTCATAGTGGGAAAAGTGAGGTAGCCCAGAATGCAAAAGCTTTGATGATTTGTGGCTAAAATTTAAAATGGCCTGAATTATCAGCTGAAATAAATTTATGTCACCTTGTTATTTTTCTGGTTACACTGGCCAACACTCAGGTTTAAGACTGCTGTCTTTCTGGATATTGCTCTGTTTAATTTTTATTTTGGCTGTCTTTTTGGGGATAGAAAAACAGATTTATTTTCCCTTTTCTTTTGCACGTGCCCAATCCCATTACCATCAGTGGTGATTGATAAGGATGGTTGTATATGTATAAATATTTGTGAGGGAGAGCATCTTGTTTTCCTGTGTGTGTACAGATAGCAGGGGGAGTAGGGTTCCCATGTTTGTTCCACATTAAATGTGACATTATATGAGCATTGGTTGGTCCTACTAACTGTGGGTGTATGAATAAGATTTCTAGCAAGCTCTTATGGCTGTTCAGCAGCTTGTCTAATGGAAAGATTCTAAATTATGATTATCACTATTGGTTTGTAAGAGAACACTGTATTTTTGGACTCTTGTGGTTGTTGCTGTTTTTTTCCGTCTGCCTCTTTGTCTTTAAATCTTCTGTCTTTTTGCAAAGGTTTCAACTGCAACTCCTGGCAACCTGGGGTTGGAATTCCCAAGCTGACATTGCTATCGACAATATTACATTTGGAATGAACTGCTTTGCTGATGGTGAGCCATGCGTGTTACAGAATCCCATAAAGAATTTGGATAGTGTAATAAGCATCCAGCTGATCCGGAATACACTTGCTGTGTTTTTCCCCTGCACCAAGAGTGCACATGAATCATTTATGTTAGCTTTTATATCACAATGCCAATTATCTTAGATCTGCTGAAGATTGTAAGTAGAGGAAATTTTACGTGTGTCAGTTTATTAGTGCTCTTTGTTTTCCCTAATCTGTATCACACAGTTGAAAGCTGCCTGTGTGTCTTGGCAAGAAACTCTTGACTTACTCCTGTGCTTTAAGTGGAAGGATTACATCACATTGCTCTTTAGCAGTCCTCTCTGACCTGTGCACCCTGGCAATTGATAGCCGAAGGGAACTTGTTGAAAACAAAGGGGAAAACAACTATATTTTAGGGGAGGAAAGGAGGAAAACAGAAGAATAAAATGTCTCTCTGGCAGTAAAGTTTAGTTTGATTTGCCTTGTAGGAGAAGCATCAGATGTCACTGGCAGGTACATACATACTTCTCTTGGCTTCATTACTGTTAATGCTACTGATGACAATGTGCTCCACTGAAGATGAAGCCAGAGCTAATCTCCAAAACATGCTAGCAAAAGAGTTGAATTTCTTCAAGTGGAAAAAGGATGCATACTTGGGAACATTACAAACTACCATCTTTTAGTCTCTGCGGAAAAGACTGATATTCTCTGTTGCTTAAACAAGAAGAGAACATGCAGCACTTCAGTTGTGACTTCTGTTGCAAATGAAATGTTCTCTGCTACCTTCAAAAGTCCCCACATCCGATATGTCAGCACTGAATGTAGTAGCAGGTCCCTGCAGAGACTGTAGCCTAATGTGAGAAGGTCTGTGTTAAAACTGGTATGTGTTAAAAGTTTTCCACCATTTAGAACCCTTTTGTTCTCCTACCTTTGTCCAATTTGGTCTCACATTCTTTGCCCCTTAGTTCCATGGGCACTGAGTACACCATTCAATGAAATGTTGAGCATGCATATATTCATTTAAAATTAAGAGGAAGAGGTGTGCCTTTAGAGCACAGCCATTTATTCACTCCATTCTTTAACACCCCCAGCTCCCAATACATTGGGTTATGCATGCTGACATTTTGTTTTGAAATGTGAGAAAAGTTCTTAAAGAAACTGAAGGGAGTGATTCCAGGTGCTTGTTGTGTCAACTGCTGTACACCCAACTTTTGGACTTTACTGCTCTCCTGAGAGCAAATACAGACACTAGAGTACCCGTGGGCATTTTGTTGGTTCTAGTGTATAGTTATATTCTTTGGTAAATAAGTGGGGCATAAAAGACTCTGCAAGAATGTTTTCAGGGCTTGTCTATTAGACTCCACCCAGGTTTCTCCTCACTTTCAATTACTATAAATCTCACTGATGTCCAGGAGAAGCAGCCACTTACCCCATCTGGAAGTGTGACCCAGAGTTGCATGACTCATGCAGAAGACAGATATCATGAAGGAAATGATTCTTGGAAGCCCTGCACTTGCCATTGTTCCTTGAATCCTCTCATCAAATTGACGTTTTCTCGCCTCTGAAAGTAACTCCCTTGCATTTATCTTCTCATGATTTTAATTCAGTTAGGTTGCAGAGAAGCCCAGCAGCTCTGCTGTGTTTTCAGTAATGAAATTATTTCTCCCAAGCAAGGAGAGGTTTCAGATGTCAGAGAGAGAGCCAATTAAGATCCAAACAGTGAATTATTTGCATGAGGGCAACAGGAAGGACATAGAGCAGGAAGGAAAAATTTGCTGTTTGCGATGATGTAAATATTAATCTCTCCATCTATTTCAATCCCATATTTTGATTTTCTTCAAAATCTAATGCAGACCTTGAAAGCACTGCTTGTATGTATGCAAGCTGGGAAACTAGGTGAAGTTTTCTATATTCCTCAACACGGAGAAGAAAGAATTAGTAATATTTGGAAGGTGAGGGGGGGGGGCCCCGGCCGGGGGGAAGTGTAGTGAGGGCAGCTCAAGAGACATCAGTAGAGACGAAAAACAAACAGCCCATTCTTTGGGTGGCAGCCCCTGGGCAGAGACAGATGCTTTCCCTGTGAGAAAGGCTAAGTGAAACAATCTTCTGGTTAATAAAATCACCTTGTGTTAAGACAGTGTCACAGATCAGATGGCATGGATCTGATTCGTTGTGAGAACTTTTAAGGGACAGCCATAAAGATACAAGTATTTTATCCTCTTAGCTAAATAGTGCTTTTGTAGAAAGAGATCTGAGTTTTGAGTGTTTAAATATGAAAATGTGAGCTGGCATGACTGTTGTCTTCCTCAATGCTTTCATGGCCACTGCTTTTACCATTAGCTCTTACTGCTCTGAGGATGGTATTGTTCCAATTAAGAGCACAGGTCAGTGGTCCATCAGTGCGCTCCACTGTCCTGGCCAAGGGGTTACTTTTTGATCTCTACATCATTTATACTTTCTAAAAAGACTGGTTTTTAAATGACAAGACCATCTGAAGAGAGCTTTTGTATGTGATAACTCTTGTTTTTTACTTTGGAATCCCCAGGCTATGGGGAGCCTGGCCTGCCAGTCTCGTTGTTTTAGGCCAATGGTGTGGGGAGGTTCAAGCTGTTCAGCACAGCCCCATTTGGTTGAGTTAGTAAGGACTGACAAGAAATGCAATTGAATCAGTCGAAGGGCTGGGAAATGGGGACGTTGGTGCAGCTTCCTCATTCTGTGTCCCACTCCAGGACAAGCTGGAGAGGCTTCCAGAAGTGCTTCACCTGCATGAGTGAGGTAAGATCTTTGAGTAGACCGTGCACACTTTGAAGATGCTGCAAGGAACTTTATTCTGATTAATCCTGCCCCAAAATTACTAAATCCTTCTTCATTACAGTCCCAGAAATGGAAATAGGAGCTATTTACTGTAGCTCTGTCTCTGCAGAAGGTTCCCTTTCATTTTATGATTTCTACTGTCCATCTTCAGTGTGAAAATCAACAGTATGAGCTAAGTCCTGGAGTGACACAGTTGCTGTTCATGTTTTTCTGATATAAGTATACCTAAACATGAATAATTCTTGTTCCCTTCTGTCCTTGCAGTCAATATTTTGGCTATCAGAAGAGCAAGTGGAAGCTTAAAAAGACTAGAGTAGCAGCCTCTGGCTGCCAGGGTTACGCTGTATTTGTAAAAATTACCACCTTCCAAATTCATTTCTGGTGGCACATAAAGGATCAGCTTCCTAAGAATTAATGGCTCATGTGGACAGGCTAATGTTTAGGCTGTCATGCAACTCTCATGCTGAAAACAGGAGACAGAAGCTTTCTTCTAGTGTGTGAAGGTTCGAGACTGTTTGGAGAAGGAGGAGAGATTGTTTGTTTGGAAACAAAGCATTGCCTTAGGATAGCCAGTTGGGATGCTGCAAACAAAATAAATAAAAATCCATGCAGAGACACAGACCAAGTCTGTATTTCAGGGATTGATTTACATTCCATCAATCTGGCAAACATAACCAGACTTCTTGTTCATCTCTAACTATCTGAAACTGTTTTGACCTTTGGGATTCATAATTCACTGCAGGCCTAGGGAGACTAAGCATCTTTTCTGGCTATGCGTTGCCTTTTTCATTTGGTTTTCCTTCTTGCCTTTGATCCAGATCATTTGTTTTGGGTTAATTTCATTTTTCACTTGCTTGACAACTCCATCCATTGAAGTTCTCTATCTCACTATGAACAGAGTGTGTCAGTACAAAGCTTTCTTTTACTTCCATCCATCAATGAGCTTTCACACAGACCTGGAGGGAATATTCTCAGGAGTAAAAGCACAGCAAGGTCTCCATGCTTCAATTAGTTATTTGGCCTTTCTGACACAGCTAACAAGTGTGTTAATTATCACTATTTAGAGCAGTGGCTTTGCAGCAGAGATAATTGTCCAGCTGGAATTGAATGAGTCTCTTTTGAATAGTGCATCAAACAGCTGTTAGATTCTCACAACTGGAACAAATGGAAATATTTGTAATGTTTTTCAACTAATGAAAAACGTTCAGTATTAAATTAACTGAGGGCTCATAAAGTGTCTCCTTTTTCTTACAGAGATTTTCTTACAAAGATCTGCATACAGATGGGTATTTTAACTATGGAAACAGGATGCTTGCAGATTATAAATCAAGAGTTATTACTTCTTCCTGTTCTAAGGCAGTTTTGGTTACACATGGCGATCTCAGTGCATTTGGATGCTTTGGCTCAGCCAAAAGAAGACCCTCCTCCCTGAGAAAGGGCTGATTTTTAAAAGCCTATTTTGTAATAGGCTTTTAAAGGCATAAATGTGGCCTTTCGCTCTGTGTTTTTCAGAAAGACTTGTCCAAAAATTTGCAGATATTGCCAAGAGTATACGACTGTTTCTCTACTGTCAGTGTGACATCATTTTATTTAGCAAATTATTCCTTAAACAAGGTTGGGGGTGGAGGGGTATGAAGGTCACTGGTGAGAGAAGAGTGATCCGAAGCTGATTTACCTACCATGACACCGTTAAGAACCACAGATAACATTTTTTGCTATCACGGTCCTTTATGCCTTTGACCAGCAGAGCAGCAGTACTGCTATCTGTTTTCCCATTCCGTGCTTTTCTCGAAGATTCTTGTAACTATAGCCAGTGCAGTTTGCTGCCATAAGCTTATCTTACAGGTGAGCCTCCATGGGATAACACAGGATGTTTGTTCATGTGAAGGCCCTCTGATTTTAGCACAGACAGAGGTAGCAAAGCCAAGATACAGGCACAAGAAAATCAGTTAAAAAAATGCTGATTGTTTAAAATATTTTTTCTGTCCAAGGTATTATAAACATACCTTAAACAAATGGTCATGCTGCATTGATTCATGCAGACTTCTAAGTTTTGCCTCTCTTTTTTCTATCATCTTCCTATCCATTCTACAAACTATTACAGGAAGACAGCCAACTCATTTTAGTGGAAAGCGTCAGTATCCACGGGAGATCAGTAGCCCTGATGAGCATCTTCTGAATCCCCTGGAAGAGCCCTCCCTCCCAGGTAAACGATTCAGAACTGAAAGCCTGTCTCTTGCCTGTAGGAGGTAGCTTCCTTTTTGTCTCCGTGTGTGATCTGCCTGAGTGGTCAGCACAGCTATAGTGACAGAGCAATGAAATATAATCTTTGCTAAAGTTGTGGAGATCATGTCAGGTCTGCTTGGCTGTGGGGCAGCAGTTTCCTGAGGTCTAGCTCACCAGTCTGTAAAGAGCAGGATGTTTTTAAAGAGAAGTGGAGCCCATAAGTAAAGAAGCTTGAAGTAAAAGCAGAAGCTACCTGACTGACTCTGTCTGTTCTGATCACAGGGGACACGTCCGTTGTTCTTTGGTGGTTCTCAACATGTGGTGCCAGTGGTCCCCACGGGCCAACTCAAGCTCAGTGTGACAATGCGTACAGGGGCAGCAATGTGTCGGTGATTGTGGTGAAGGAGGGAAGGCTGCGAGGAGTGCAAGTCTGGAGAGTGCCAGCCACAAATCGATACAGGTGTGTATCACAGCGTGTTGATGAGGCAACCATTAAACTACTTCCTGGTTCTGGAATTTCAGCAAATGTAAGTGTAGGACTACCTTTGCTGAGTAGGTGAAGGGATAGAAAAATAAGAAAGAAATAGGAGAGCAGCTCTAAGTTTCTGTGTTTGACCTACTGTTGAAGCATGGGAGAGTGGAGCAGTGACATGGAGGAGATTAGAACAGGAGTGACTGCGGGTGTGTAATCAAATGCAAGTGCTGCTATCATTTTGGACCCAGAGCTTTGATATTTTAGATTTGGCCATACCAGTTCACTCTGTTTGCCTCTGAAATCTGTCTCTAGTGCTCTGGTGTAGCTTATTGATCTTCTTGAGCAGCCTCTGCTGTGTATGTCTCTAGAGAAAGAATGGCCATGAGACACTGCAGTAAGAGCCTGATTGGGAGTGCAGGCTGGGGAGAACTCACAGATGGAGCTGCTTTAGAAGATGAAAAGTGTAAGATTTGTCTCTTTAATTACACCTTTTTGTTCCAGAATTTCTGCCTATGGAGCAGCTGGAGGGAAGGGAGCCAAAAACCACAATGAGAGGTCCCACGGGGTCTTCATCTCGGCCACCTTCCAGCTGGAGAAAGATGAGCTGCTGTACATCTTAGTGGGGCAGCAGGGGGAGGATGCCTGCCCTGGGGTGAGGGCATAAGTGGGCAGAGACTTTGCAGATATAATTCACTGAGATTCAGTGGGCGGCTTGGGGTTTGGCTGGACTGGTGATGAAAGATAGATATTCCAGGATCCAGCTCTGAATCCAGTCAGTATGGTAAGAACGAATAAACCAAGTCAGAAAGAATCTCAAAACAAATATGAAGGACTCTGAAAAGAAAATTGACCCCAAAATGTGCAAACACATACAAAACCCACAGGAACTTTGCTTTAAGCTCCTGGTGTTTGAATTCATTATTGGCTTTCTTCTGCTTATTTTAAGAGAGGAGCTACTAGGCAAGAGATGTGTATTCCCACCCTTATTTTTCCACAGCCTGAGTTTCTTTCTGCCTGCCAGGATTTTTGATTATTTTCTGTAATTTATAGAAGCATCTACAAATCCAGAGCAGCATTGTGGCTGCACTTTCTTAGGTACTCTTAGGTACTCTCTAAGCTTAGAGACTAATGTCTAAATCCAAAGCCAACCAAAAATGGTGGGAATCTCCCCACAAACTACAGTGGCCCCTGAGTTGGCATGTGTAATGGCAAAACAAAACATTTGTGATGCATAGAAATTGCTAACACGAGTGATTATACAGATAGTCCTCTAATACTACACCCAGCGGTGTGAAAGTCTTTGTCACTTAGGCTCAAAAGTTACCTCATCAACAAAAATTCTTTGTTACCACCATATCTTCACATTTTTTTAAGAAATGTGATCTGCCAGGCCATGCAGACCTTTCTATTTTCACTTGCATGCAAATCAGAGGTAGCAGGCAGTTCTATCCTTCATTGTAGAGGAGCTCCCCTTTCACATATATGTATCCACGTGCATATTATCTATGTCTGATATGTATCACAAACAAAATGATCATACTGAGACAGATACATCTCAATAATCTGTGTGTCTCTTCTCTCCTTTCAGGCCAACCCTCAGACCCAGAAGATCTGCTTAGGGGAGTCATCTGTCATTGAAGAAGATTACAAAAAAAAAAAGGACCTGAAGGACTGGGCTGGAGGAGGTGGGGGTGGAGGAGGAGCAACCTACATCTTTAGAGTAAGTGTTGCCTCTTTCCCTCCAACCAGAGTAGTGTCCTGCAAAGCAACTATCTTTTACTGTCTGTCATGGCATATGAAGCTTAGTTCCTAAATGAAGATGAGGAGAAAGGATTGTCTCTCTCCTTCACCTCTCCCCTCTGCCTCTCTTTGTGTTGCTCTGTCTTTTTGTATTTTTAATTGAGTTCTTTATGTCTTTTCATACTGTCAATCATGTTCATCACTGTACCTAAGATAGCCGAACTGCTTCTTCAGTTCTTGACATCTCAGATCTGGGAACCACACCTGGGTCTTGTTTTAATACTAACAGCAGTCCTAACAAAACAAAAAAACAAACCTATATTCATTTGAATAGTTACTTTTGTACACAGAAGCACTGTGTAAAATGTTTTTATAATGTAGTCAGGAAACTATCAATATCGTTGCCCTGGCATTGGGCCTCTCTTCTTTCGATTGCTTTTGTGCTTTTTGATGAGTTTGTTGTGAGTTCACAAATTCACAAATGTGAAGTTTTTCTGATATTTGATGGGGGGTTTTCCAGCAGAAGGATGGGATTTTCGAACCTTTGCTCATCGCAGCAGGAGGAGGAGGAAAAGCCTATCTGAAGGCTCAGGACAACTCCCTGGATGACGTACCTCTGGAGCAGTTTGAGAACAGCACTGCAGTACCGGGAGTCAGTGGAAGAACTGGGGCAGCAGGTGAGGTGCTAAAACTACAGAAAGTCTAAATCAAATGGCCGAATGCACAAGCTGTCCTGTCAGTGAGGAGATTCTTGATCTTTTGGAATTCTACGGTAGTAGTAATTAGAAACATGCTTCAAGTCTATAAAGGATTTCTTTTTATATGGTCAATCATTTAGATAAAAAGAGAATGCATGGGACAGATGATGAGTGGCACTTCCATAGGAGTGCTCTTCTCTGGAAAGTTCACAAGTGAAAATTGATGTTTGGGAGTTGCAGCACACTCCTCCAAACTGTAACAGTGGCTTTAGAAGAGAAGACTTTTTCCCTATTACTTCCCTGAAACTCTAACAAAAAGAGTTCTTGTGGAAGTATCCTAGAAATGGAAGCTTACTTATAGTGCACCAGTGGCTCTCCAGATCCTGCTCTGTAATATCCTTATAGAGGGGCTACTCGAGCGAGATGAGGAAATCCAGTTTAGCTTTTATTTCCCCAAGGAATAAAGCATCTGTCAGAGCTGAAAGCCCTAAGCAGTCCCCAAGGGGGACTGGTAGGCTCCTTATTTCCCTAGTGCCACTACAAATTGGTGCTGAATTGTTGGGTATGCAGCAGGTACTACAGGTCATGCACTCGATTTCCACTTTGTTGTTAACCATGGCAACAAGAAGCTTGTCTGTATATTCTCTTACCTTTTAACAAAGAGTTAACTTGAATGCAGGCACTTCTTAAGAAATTAATTTTAATTTTAATTAAATTTTCTTTTAATTGTGCTTCATTCACCTGCTCTCATTTTGTTGTGACTCTTCGATTGTGAAGGTGGAGGTGGTGGTTGGCAAGATGTGACTCTGCTTCCTCAAGCTGGGAAGTCCCTCTTGGAAGGTGGAGAAGGGGGTCAAGCTTGTCACCAAGCATTAGCCAAGCTCCAGTGGGCTACCTCTGGTGGTTTTGGTGGTGGAGGAGGAGCTTGTACTTCTGGTGGAGGAGGTGGAGGTTACAGAGGTAGGTCTGCTGAAGAAATAGTCGCACTGTCTCATTTTGTGCAATTTGGAGCTCATGCAACTAGGAACTAGAGTTCTCAGTGCATAAGTACACTACTGCAGAAGGTGATTTACAGACACTTCAACATGAATGGGATGAGCACGCCCCTCCATCTTTATTTAATTGGAGAAATCAAGGTTATAGAAGCATTTCTAAGCCAATATTTCAATATTTTCCAGATATGCTGAATAATCCCTTTATTTGTTCTCAAAATGCCCAAGGAACTGTTTAGGTTTTTTTGTTTGTTTGTTTGTTTTGTTTTGTTTTGTTTTGTTTTCTGTTCAAAGCAAATGTATTTTTACCTAGATGAACTGGGAAACCTACACTTGAATAAGCCACTTTACCAGCCTTGGTACTGGTTGGGATGAGTGAGCCTTATTCGTGAAGGATGTTATACACAGTAATATCACTGAAAGACTGGGAGTGACTGCAAGTGTTTAGAGCCAGGAACAAAATGTGGCACTTCAGAGGCATCACACTTTTGCAGCATGCAGTGCTGACAACTAGCCATACTCTTCTTTCTCCAGGGGGGCATGCCTCTAACAGTGATGATATCACAGCTAGTGGGCAGTATGGCATCTCGTTTGTGAATCCCATTGGAGAGATCTTCTTGCATCCCCTTGCAGGTACAATACACTTTTTCAGTCTTTTTATTTCACTCTGCAGGCCAGTTCCTCAGCTGTCATTACTGCTTTAAAATTGTTTATAATGCTCTGGGACCTTCTTCCTCTCAAATAGTTAAGCCAGGAGAGGCATCAGTCATCCAGTTTAACTGCACGTCCTCAGTCCTAGATACGTTCAAGTCAATTCATTTCAGGACTTCTCTGTTTGCATAGAATTCAATTCCTTCTTCCCTTCTGGACCATGTCAGATTTCTGACCTGCCCACAGTATCAACTGTCCTGCAGAGAAAGAAGTTGACCTGCCTACTCCTTTTACTCCTTTTTTTTTTTTTTCTTTCTTACTGGGAAAAGATGGGGAATGTTAAACTAAACCTGCTTGTTGTATCTAATTCCTCATTCAGCCGTGGAGAATGATGGTGAGGTGGAGGTTCAGATATACCTTAACTGTAGCCACTGCCACTCAGACAACTGTAAGAGAGACCCTGACACCAACCTACCTGTCTGCCAATGTGAGATGGGGGCTGTGCTAGCCAATGACAATGTTACCTGCACTGGTAAGATATAGTTTTATCCTAACTGGATAATGAATGTATCCTTTGTTGGTGTCTCTCTTCCTGGTTTTTGTGTTTATATACAATTAGCCAGTACTGAAAATTCATTATGTCCTTTCCTTGTATGCTAAACTGCATGTCTGCCACCATATCCAAAATCCAGGTTTGGATTAGGTGGAAAATAAATTAAATGTAAAGGAACGCTGTAAATTTCTTGAATGGATACAGTGTATCAAATAGTTAAGCATAAATACCTTTCCTGTATTGTGTACCACCTAATTTACGCCACAAATTACTTCCTTCACAGAAGTTCCCTACTGTGTCTGTTCAGCTGATGCCCAGTGTTCACTATTTACTGACGTGGTCTCTTAGAATCTCAAACCATCAAGACTGTAGACAGTTTCAACTTGTTAGCAATAATGTTACCCTTTAAGAAAAAACTGAGGAATGTGTAAGCAATCTGTGTTTTACTAGTTAGATTTCTGTCTTAACAATGTTTTCAAAATGATTTTGATTTATTTTTTTTCAAATTCCAAGGTTGTAAAGGGATCTTCTGTATTTTCTATAGGATGATTTAGCCGTGATCTCTGTACTGTTTTCTGAAACAGCAACCATGACTGTGGTTCTTTCCTGCAGTTTGGCTTGTTTCCTGATTAAGGCACCTCTGTTTTTCATTTTCCAGTGCTACAGGGTCATATCCCAGAGGGACATCTGCCTCTCCCACTCCTCCTAGCTGTGGTGGCTGTGATTGTGGTGCTCGGAATGATCCTCACTGGTGGCAGCCTATCTATCAGTAAGAAACACTCCCTTTTACTTGCCTTTTTCTCAGTTAAATTAGACAAAGAGGGACTACCCAAGCACATACAGCTACTTTTACTACTTGGAACCAGAGTGTTTTGGTCTCCCAAGTGGATCACAGAGGGAACAAGTAGAAATAATAGAAAACATCACCACCCCACAGATAAGCACAAGCATAACCCCAAAGCCAATGACTGCTCTGTCCTTGTATTTGCTGCAGAAAAAAGCCTTGGACAACCCTGTAGGCAGACACTTTTTTTGCAGCCGTTGCTGTATAGTGTGAAGTTGCAGTCTCTGTAATTGAATGTAATTCCTTCAGAGAGACAGCATGCGCTTTTGCTGCCTCAGTGCCAGCAAGGTGTCTTGTGAGGCAGCATTTCCTCAGCCGATTTATAAAGAAGCAGAGGTAACTTATGTTTCTTCCAGCTGATTAGGACTCTGCAGGGGTAAAGATGTTTGCATATTCAGTATTAAATCACTACAGAAGAGAGATGCAGGAAAGCTAATGATGCTTCTTGAGCATTTGTAACTACCACTTAGTTTCTTCTTTCTGTTCTGTGTGCCCAGTATTATATTTTCTTTCCAGGTTCTTATACTGTTTGTATTTTTTCCATCCCCAGTTTATCACCTGAAGAAGCAGCAACTGGAAGGAGCCAGAGCACGACTGCAGAGTCCGGAATATAAACTGAGTAAAATCCGCACATCAGCCATCATGACAGATTACAACCCCAACTACTGCTTTGCTGGGAAGGCTGCCACTCTGAGTGAGCTGAAGGAGATCCCACGGAAGAACATCTCTCTGCTTCGGTAAGGCTCGGCATAGGAGGGGGAAGGCAGCCTGAAGCAAAGGCAGAGTTGGGGCTCACACACTAGTTTAACAACAAGCATCTGGGACAAGAAACTGAGGGCTTCCTGTCTGACTGACTGGAAAGCACCAACTACGGGCAAGGAAAACTGTGACACTTTCTTTGTTCTCTTAAATACTTTGATGCCATCAAGCTCTTAAGAGCAGGTATAAGTTCATAAGTCTTCTGTCCCATGTTCCCATGCAGAGTACAGGTTATTTCACCTCTGTCTTGTGCGATGTCCTGGATTATACTTGCTACCTGACGGTAACTCCCTTCCAAATCTCCAGCAGTATTTCTTTTTCTGCATTTCCTGACACAAGGAAATACACACTAGATTGCTCTTCCTCTCTATATAGTCCAGACTATCCTGATTAAAGCTATAAGGAAAATAAAAACTTCACCATCTTTGTGTTGTCTTACACCAGCACCTGAAGGGATCATCTTGCAGCTGCCTTCATATGCACTGTTTGTTTTTTCCTCCTCCCCTCCCCAGTTCTTTCTTGCCTTGCTAAAGCCACACGTTCTGACAGTGCCATAGGATTGAGCAGGCTGTTTGATTTCATAGAATGGTTTGATTTGGAAGGGATATATTCAGAACCATTAATGATCCAACCTGCCTAGTTCAGTGATGGCATTAGAAGATATTGAGAAGTTATTTTCAGAGGCTTTGAGATGAAAACAAAACTCTGCTATGGATTCATCTTTCACAACAGGTTTTCTACCTGTTCTTGGACTGGACAATAAGAAGCACTTAGCAAGTGCTTGGTGCAGAGACACAGTAACGGCTGCTCTCTTTCTCTTTCTCCCAGGGCACTCGGACATGGTGCGTTTGGTGAGGTTTATGAAGGAACAGTGGTAGGCATTGCAGGGGATCCCAATCCTCTCCAGGTGGCTGTTAAGGTCAGTACCCACAGTTGTTGTTTTTTTAATATACAACGATAATTATCAGTGAGAGTGCTATTACCTCACTGCCATTCCAACAGATTGGTGTAAATCACATGTATAATGACAGAAGTGTGTATATGATGCAAGTTTCCACATGTTGCTGCAACTGGGAGTTATAAACTTTGATTTTTAAGTTGTGTGGCACCAGCAGTGGGTTGAATGTAAATTATCATCTGTCTTGTTTGCTGCATGCCCATGAGTTGTGATCTAACCTAGGACAAGAATCTAAAGAGGGCAATCTCTTTTCTAGCCTCCACCCCTGTGCTCAGGAAGGAGAGAACCAGTGCCCTCAGAAGGGAGTTTATATGAATTAGTTACATAGAGACTGCTTAATACTACATGTTAAAATGGAATAACAAATCATCTATCAGCATAAATAACTATGGCATCATTGAAATCCACACACAATCATCAGTTCCCCCCAGCAGAAAATCTGGTCGGCCCCCAGAGATGTGATTGCTTTTGAGGTGATCACTGAGAGCTCTTGACAGGTCCACTGGTCCAACAGAGCTGCTGTCCTGTGCTTTTCTGCCACTGTGATGTATTGATCTGAGTAGCTGGGAAAAGAGAACGTTATGGGGAAGAAAAACTAGCAACAGTCAGAGCATTTTGGACTGGAAAGAGATTTCTTAATCCTGTGCACAAAACAGAAAATCCTGGCTAATGCTAGTATGAAGTATTTATATGACAGGAAACAGCAAATCTTTATAGTAATGCTTGTCTATTTTTACTTCTACGTTTCAGTTTTTAAGTACTTTCTCATAAGTTTTTCATGTGACATTACTATTTTTCGTAATTTGTATTATTTCAGTTACATTTCTGTTATAGATTAGAATAGTGTCTGCCTAACATTGATGAAACTTGCAGGTCGTTTCTCAGTGCTGTGCAGCATTAAATATGCTGCTGTGAACTTATCTTGTAATATCATAATTTTCCATGTCATTAATGACAAGAGACAACAGGCTAGTTCTCTGTAAAATTACTGCTGTTGCCTCAGGATTTGTCAGTTACTCAGCCCAGAATTACAGGATGCTCATTGCCTCCTGTTCTTTTGCAAGCTTGTGGCTCAGAGGACTAAGTCTACTCCTGTGGACTAAGTCTACTCCAGCTCAAAACATAGTTTCCTTAATAGAAATAAGTCCCAATGTTTTTTTTTTGTTATTTGCTCTTTCAAAATTCTCTTTAAAAAAATCACGCCTTGTAGGAAGCACAATAGCACAGTGCCAAACAGGAGCACATCAGCTTGTTGTGGTTTTTCAGTGCAAAGATCGTTTGCATCATCCTGTGTGAAGCAGTCGCTTACTTCAGATAGCAAAATGTCTCCTGAGGCCCACACTGCTGGTGACCACAAGTGGGTTTCCATGCCAGCCCTCGCCTCACTGAGCAACAACCACCACCCATTTCTGTGTGCACTTGGAACCTGCAGCAGGAGCTACGCCCAGCTGTGGTACCTCATCCATAGTCCTCCAACTGGCACATGAGCAGGCACTGCAGCTCCTGCTGCCTGCACTCTCAGTTCACATTTAGCAGTGGCAGTTGCTGTCCAGATCTGCTGTCAGGAGAGAAAGCTGTGAGGCTGTGTGACATAATTATATGAATCAAGTGGCTGTATGTGCTGCATGGCATGAAGCAGGTGCTGCAATGTGGTCTTAATAGCAAAGGGAGAATAAATTCACACCTGTGATGATTTTAAAATGTTTACTAGATTTCTGTTTCCCCAGCCGATGCATTTCTTAATGTAAATCTGAAACAATTTTGCTCTAGAACACTGCACATAGTTAAATGCACACAAAACGAAGCCTCCAAGCAGACCTCCGCTTTCCTGTTCCTCTAACTGCTGAATGGGACACAGGCAGTTCAACTGACTGGCACTGAAGAGATGAGACTTTCCTCATAGCTTCCTGAAGTCACTCACAATCGTGTTACGTGCTTCTTTTTTTTTCTTTATTCTTTGGTGCACTCCTAAACGTTCTCAATTATGTTGTGGAATGGCCCTCGCTTTCTTAAACTCTCAACAGACACTGCCAGAAGTCTGCTCCGAGCAAGATGAGATGGATTTCCTGATGGAAGCACTGATTATCAGGTATAGCTCAAGGGTTTAAGACTGGTGGTGAGTGGGGGGGAGAAAGGAGTAATGCAGGTATGAGAAATATTAATTCTGTTGCTTGAGTTTGGGGAAAAAATAATATCCAGTCTCTTTTTTCACCAAATAGTATTTTAGTAGCGTACAAGTTATTGGTTTCAGCCACTTGTGTTAATCCTGAACACTTGTATCTGTAGGTTTTTTTGTTGCACATCTGAACAAAAGTTTCTCCTGATTGGTTTTGCTGGTCATGCTCAGGCACAACATTTTTGTACAAGCTTGTTCTGTATTTGAAATGGCTTCCTTTTCAAAGAATCTCACTGCTTTTTTACCAAGTATTCATGTATCAAGTAATCATATATTGAAGTTCTTGCAAAAAGAAATTATCAGTGGTGAAATGGAAAGCAGGAAATGTAACAGGAAGGCTAAATAGTAGAGCCACTTGTGCAGAGACTCAGAAGTTCAGCCTTTGCAAGATGACTGCCAGGGATGGTACAACACAGGCTGTGTGCCAGGGAGGTGAGTTTTTGGTCCTGGATGCTTGGACTTAAACAGTATTATCTCTTGCAAATAGAAGTGAGGCTTTTTAGAAGAGTGGTTTGGGCAGCTGAAGAAGGTATGAAAAGCATTTCAAATTGAGGCTTTTTCAGGTGGCATGCTATTATGTGCAGCCTTTTTGCTTTTCCTATCTGTAGAACTATTTGCCGTAAATGCTTTTTCTGGGGAAAGTCCTTGTGTTTAACTTTTTTTTCCCCCCCATAAAAAATAGCTGATGAGATACTTCAAAGCTCCTGTGTGGATAAGGTAGATAAGGTGGCTCTGCATTGTGCCAGTAGCTTGCACAGATGGAATTTATCTATTTTAAATTTGGGCAATATTAAGTTTCTCCACCTCTCGCTACCTGCCCCAGTTTTTACCTAGATGCTCTTTTTCTTCTGCTGAAGCATGATTCAAGAATAAATCTCGTGACGTAATACTGCTTCATAAAGTCTGTAAGAAGTTTGAGTGGCAGATGAACTGAAGGTAACACTGATAGAGTTTCTAAAGAGCAATTTCAGTTAATTATAGAATGCTTTGATTCTCTTGGTAGCACATGATCTTCCCTAACCTCCTGCACATTATTCTTTCCTGTATTTTCCAGGTCATTGCTGTCCAAAGACAGACACTACTTTCTGAAACTGAGTCTTGCTTCCTGACTGTCTTTTCTTCTGTTGCAGTGGGGTAGAAAGCCATCCCCAAATCAGCTGCTGTAGTGGGTATTAGATGCATACTAGATGCTGAACCGAGTCCACTAGACTAGGCAGCAGCGTATTTGAAATAATGCTGAAGTAAAATCACCACATAACAAGATTTTGTTTTATACATGCCAATACTGTTCGGATGTTTGAGGAACCCTGATCCTGGGAGTCTTCATAAGTAGAAAGGCATTTGGATAAGTCTGAAGTTAGAATTTGTTCAGTAACTTGCTTCGATGCAGGTCATCAAAGCTCAAAGCAAAGTGAGTGTGGCAGAAGTCAGCCAAGTACTAACGTTGTCTCCCTTTGTGTTGCTGTGACCTTGTCTTTCAGTAAGTTCAATCATCAAAACATTGTGCAGTGCATTGGTGTTAGCCTGCAGACGCTGCCTCGCTTCATTCTGCTTGAGCTCATGGCTGGAGGAGATATGAAGAGTTTTCTTCGACAGAATCGACCCAGAGCGGTGAGAATCCTTCCTTGCTAGGCTTGTGATTGGTTTTAGTATGAATGAGGTTGACTGGGGCATTATGCGCTCCTACGTGACTTGGTGCAGTTGCACAGCTTCTCCTCTCAACATACTGTAGCTTTACATGTGTACAGTTGTATGCCAGTACTAATGTGTTGTTAGAAGATCTAGCTTAATTCCTTCTTCACAGAGCATACTGATTAGGGACACTTAGAATGGTATAATAGCACCCACGCAGAGGAGTCTATGTAATTTTGATTATGCCATTTTGAGTGACAGTGCTACAAATTCTGCAAGTAGATAAATTCTGTGGAAAACAGAATACAAATATCTTTGTAAATCAAGTATAGTTGTCATGTGAGGAACAGTTATTTTTAAAATATCATGTGAAAGCAAACCTGCCACTATGTTTGCTGGAATGTCAGAGAGCAAATAGAAGAGCTGAATTCCCCTTAGTACTAAAAGAAATATCCCTGCTCACCTTTCTGAAAACAAACTGGCCCCATCAGTAACATATTTCACTGCAAGTTTCTGTGGCTGCAGAGAAGTGCCTGCCCATTGCAGACAGAGGGATCCCAGTGAAGAGATAAGGTCTCAAAGTCTGCAATTCTGTATCTCCTTCTTCATTTCCTCACCAGAAATGCCTGTTTTATAACTATAATAATTCTCCTTGGCAGGCATCCAAAGCTTTGTACAATAACTTGCCTAGCCAATAAAAACAGTGCTCAATGGCTGCAGTGTACATTATGTAGTTTGAACAGGAGCAATTGCAGAGATAACAGCATCCAGGAACAAAAGCAGATTGAAAAGAACAATTTATTTGATATCTCTTGAGCTTTTGATGAGCAATGTAGTAATTTCTCCCCACCCTTCCCAAGAGCAATATTGAAGTTCTTGGAGAAACACCAAGGAGATTTCCCTACAGAGAAGTAAATGACTGCATGAAAATAAGCAGGGCTCCTGGAGAGAGGTTTCCTTATTGTTCTTAGGGAAATGTAGATTGTGATGGGTGAGTGCTGCTCCCAGAGCCCTGCGATACCACGTCCCTCTCCTGCACTCTCAGGGTATCCTCTGCCCTCCCACAAGAACAGATGGGTCGATGAATGCTGAGCACTGGTGCAGAGATGTGCACTCATGCGTCTTTGGTCTCTCCCTCTCTCTAAATTCATTAGCTAATCTCGTTTGCTAATATATCAACTCTATAAAAGCAAGGTTTGGATTTGGTTTTCTTGTTTGTTTTTGTTTTTGTTTTGCTTTTCTTTGCTTTGGTTTTACCTCCCATTTCACCGCTATGTCCAATACTGCTAGGGAACAGTTTTCTCCCACCCCTTTTCTAGGCTATTCAAGTCAGGACATAAATTCCTAAGCAGCCTACACTCATGCAGTGTGTTCTGAAGTACTAAAATCTTCAGAAAAAAAAAAAAAAAAAAGCTTAAATAAAAGTTATCTCCTTTTCTAACTTTTTTTGAGCTGCTTGTGTCCCTCTTTGCTCCTGACTGATACAGCCTTTCCCTCACCTGGTACATGCCTCTCCCTTTCCCTTCTGCTGCTCTCTAATTATCCTCTGCCTCTTCTACTCCATTGTTTTACCCTTACCACTTTCTGTGCATCCTTTTCCAGAATCAACCATCCACACTAACAATGCAGGACCTGCTGAACATAGCTAGGGATATCGCCTGTGGCTGTAAATATCTGGAAGAGAATCATTTCATACACAGGTGAGGAGGAAAAGTCTCTTCTGATGTATGTTTCCTCAAAAGTGTGCTAAGCTCACCCAGATTCTGTTTGCAGCACATTAAACAGAGCTACCTCCAGAGGGAAGCCAGAGATTTCTACCAACAGACTTGTGGTCAGGTGTCCAGGCCAATCCCTCTAGTCACTGGCACGAGTTGGCCTCTGTTGGAAAGAAAGGAATCTTCCTCTTTGCAGTGAATAGTTTCAAGCGTTTTCAATTTACAGGTGATTACAATGTAGACACATTTGAAATTAGCCCTATGGTCCACTAGATGGTAGTGTCACGCTGTGTTAGCTTGTAAACAGCCTGCTCTATTTTCCTTCCCCCTGCCCCATCGGCACAGGACTGCCCGTATTTGAGCCATTGTCTCCAGTAGGGTAGAGCAGGAATAATAGGAAGCGAAATACCAGAACTCAAGGCTTTCTTCCCAGTGGCTGACCTGCTGTGCGATCCAGAGGAGAACATCATTTTTCTGTTCAATCCTTTTTCTTCCTTCTTCAGGAAGAAAATGTCGGTAGGCTTCAAATACAAGTAAAATACTGTAGAAGGGGTATAGGTTCTTACAGGCAGCCTTTTGAGATTTCCAGTTGAATGTTGGACTTCTTTATTTCTGGTTAGGAATTGTTTCAGCTCATAAAGTTCCCAGGCGTAGCATGAACTGAATTTGTTCCCCTAAGTATGAACTCTGTGCTGAGCTCAGTGGGTGCCTGTGAAGGACAGGAGAGACTTTTGGCCCAGGGGGTGACACAGACTCTAAGCCTATGTGCAGCATGGAGTTATGCAAATTGTCAGGCAATTTACCCCCGCCCCCAACAAACACACTTAAATGTGATGTTGTACAGAGCAAAGAAGCAGAGCTAGGCAAGGGTGTGTACAAACTGGGGAGACTGAGGGAAACAAGAGGCAAAAAGGTATGAGATTGAGATAGGGGATGTGTTATGGCTTTGTGATTAGAGCATCTGTGAGACGGCAACCAAAGCGTGTAAAATCTTTTGCCATGTCAGCCACAGGCTATTGATATGGACTCAAGCAAAGTCTCCTCCTCTCCACATGCCTCCACACGTAGTATTTTTAGTAAAACCAATTTTCATTACTCCACTCAGGTAGAAGTTCTCTGATTTTCTTACTATAGATCACCAAGGCTAGCTGCCATCGCATAAGATGTCTAAAATCTGTGTCAACAAGTGGATGGGCCAGCTGCTTCTGCTCAATTTCAGGACAGAAATGGAAGAAACCAGTGTTTGCCTCTTTCAGCAGTAGCACATCATTTTTCAAAAAACTCTCTGGCTCAGTTTTTACACCATTAGATCTTCTGTATAAGCAACCTCGGAACAGACTTGTTTTAGCCAGTGATTCAGCAAATCTGCATAAAAGGGATTTTGTTTAGGTCTTGTGCTAGTATTTTTTAGTGACATCAGTATTATTTAGAGTTCACAGATGTGGAATTCAGAGAAGGCCTTAAGTATGGGTGAATGGTATCCTGGTGGGAAGGATCATGTTGCAGAGATGTCACTAAGGGCCTAGTCTTGTATGTGAAGCCTTGTCATGTGAGAGTCACAGATGATAATGGGAGAAAAGGAAAAAGCTAAGCTTGAATTCCAGATCCTGTGGGAATTTTCAGTGCTGGCAGTGGGAAGAAACACGTTTATTGTTCAAGGAGTTCATTTTTCTTGGCAGCCAACAGGACCGACACAGAGCTATGATTTTTAATTAGTCCCTTTTCAGAACACATATTTAAAATTAATACAAACCCTTCAGCATTGGCCACGCAGTCATGCCTACCATTTGTCACAATCTAAACTTGCATCCAGCAAATGGCTGCTCCCATATGTAGCTTTGCTTGGTTCCATGGGAGGTTGCCAGAAGCAACAAAGGAACAGTTTATCAAATCTGTTTTTCAGCCAAACCTACTTTTCAAGCAGTTTACTAAGACTTTTCAATAGCATCACATCTGCATTGCTGATAGAGATGCTGATGCCACTGAGAAAACACTTGTTTTCTTTTTAGAAAGACACATACTGTCATAATGTGGTTGATGCAGAAGAGGTTGGATCCTTAGCTTGTCTGAGACTGACCCTGTTTTCTGCTTTAGTGAAAGAAGATGGTAGCGGGTAATGCTCAGAGTGTATTGAGTAGAAATGGTAGAAAATGTAATGCAAATGCAGTTTAATAATTACAGTTAATGAAAATGATTGTGTAGTTAGAATAGTTTTTGTTTTCACTAAAGTTATCCTCATCTGTGTTAAGATGACTCAGCTAAGACTTGTAGGGCTGGATGTAACTTTCTTTCTTTATTCCTTTAGCTAGTTAGGAGTTCAAAATTAGACAGAATTATCCATTCACAGATGGCTGAGGATGGAAGGGACCATATGGGGCCACCTAGTCCAGCCCTCCTGCTTCAAATAGGGTCACCTACAGCACATCGCTCAGGATCATCCAGGCAGGTTCTGAACTTCTCCAGAGGAGACTCCACAGCCTCCCTGGGCAGCTGTTCCAGTGTTCTGTTCCCTTCACAGTGAAGAACTTTTCTCTTACGTGCTTTTTTTTTCTTTCTTCCTTTTTCTCTTTTTTCTTAAAGAGATATAGCTGCAAGGAATTGCCTTCTGACCTGCACTGGAGCAGGTCGAATAGCCAAAATTGGTGACTTTGGGATGGCCAGAGATATCTACAGGTAAGTGAAAGGCCATTTCAGTCCCATGAATTATACAGTAATCTGTATCCATTTAAATGGTTTGAACTGCCTCATCTAATTTGAAGCAGCTGAACTGTCTATTACATTTCTGAATTTGATCTCCAGTTAACTAACTGGGGTAAACAGACTGTAAATTAACACATCTATGCCTAGTAGCAAATACACTCAAATTGTATCGTTCCAGACTGGGTCCTAGAGAGCATTGCAAACACATATGGATGCTAAACCAAACGCAGGTAAATTTATAAGCTGGTTGATCACAAATAATCTCGAATTTTAAAAATATTCATAACTGTAAATATATGAGGTCAAGAATATTTTCTTTATCAGTGCCTCATGCACAACTTCAGCACATTTGATCTCTTCAGCTATGCACCTAAACATCATCATTTTTCCTCTCAGTTGCAAACATGGTATGAAATACTGCTCAGATGGTACAATTCATGGTGATGATTTTTTCTTATTTGGCCCCCAGTACTGCATGCACTCTCTCCAGTTCCTGTTGCTGTGGTGATAGGATCTTTTATACATCTTAGCCCTTTGATGCTGTGTGACATTCTGCATATATTTAATCTTTCCCAGAGCAAGTTACTATCGCAAGGGAGGAAGAGCCATGCTTCCTGTCAAGTGGATGCCGCCAGAAGCTTTTCTAGAAGGCATTTTTACCTCCAAGACTGATACCTGGTAATAAATATCTATTAATAACTTCTGCTATTCACTAATAAACCACATTTACTGCTCAAGGAAAAAAGTCTACTCAGCAGGACGCCCTAAAGATATCAATCTTCCATGTCCTAAAATGGGAAGAAAAAAAAAAAGTAGATATTTCCCTTTGTTAGAAGACTGACTAAGAAATTAAGTGAAATTAAAAACTCTAGTGCAAGTGGAGGGCACAACAAATAGCCATAGATAAATGCAGAGTATCATATAAGGGTAAAGAGAAGACCGTTTAGAATCCTAAGAAGTCTCAGTCAAAAAAGCAGACACTTCCTTCAGCTCTTAGTATCTGCCACTCAGTACTTACTGGTGACAAGGCCTGCTCATATACTTTGTAAATGACTCTATCTATACCACACAGGATTACTCTTCTATCCTTCTTTTTTTTTTCTTTTGTATATGAAATGACAGCAGATTTAAGAAGTCCCTGCTTGTTGCTGAGGAAACAGTATTTATATACCGATTCTTCATGTAGCCTGATTTTTCCTTAAAATAAACACCCCCTCAGCAATGACACATTCATGCAAAGGTGCTGGGGAATGGAAGCTTTCCAGTTGCTTAAGAACTCCTCTCTTCCTATACAGTACTTTTCAATAAGCAAACTGAAATATTACCTTAAATGGCACACTGACCCAGTTTCCTGAAGTTGTTAATGCCAGAAGAGAAGGGATTGTGTATCAGAACATAACTGCAAGCAGCCAGTAGTAAATATTTTGAAGGAGAGCACTACAGTTCCTGTAACCGTAACAGGCTATTGTACATAACGTGTACGTACTGGAAATCTCATCCACCTCTGCACCAAATAGTGGCTCTTAAAATTAATGACCCTACTGAAGCCTTTGCAGATCCCTCAATTTCCCTGGGTCTACACTGTAAGAAGTTTTGAGTGTCACTGCCTAACTGACCTGTAGATGTAAAGAGAAAAGAGCAACCATATAATGACGATGTTTACTTTTGCACTTCTAGTGAAGGTCTCTAGCTTGTTTTATTCTTGAGCATCCTTTTGCCAAACACTGACTCAAACATCTCAAGTCTGTCAAAGTAAAATAGGAATCTCCAAGCCAAACATAACAGTTCTTGTTTTCAGTTAGACCATGCATAGCAAAGGGTGCTTTAGCATTTTCTGTTCTAGAAATAACAAATGCAGCAGAAAGAACAAATTCAGATATTTTGAGGTGCCTGCAAAGCTACTTTGGGAGCTTGAAGAAGGGTTTTGATTGATTGTTTTGTTGTTTTTTTCTAAATCAAAGTTGGCTTATAACCAGGCTAATTGCACACTTCTGTAGTTGGCCTGCAGGTTCAAAAGGTTGCTGCTGTGTTTTTACCTACCCAACTTTGTTCCAGGTTTGTGGAGCACAAATGTGGAAACCTAATCAGCATTACTATGTGGTTTCTGACGCAGGTCCTTTGGTGTTCTTCTCTGGGAGATTTTCTCTCTAGGCTACATGCCCTATCCCTGCAAAACTAATCAGGAAGTGCTGGAATTTGTCACCAGTGGAGGAAGAATGGACCCACCAAAGAACTGCCCAGGGCCTGTGTAAGTATTTCCTCACTCTCTCTTCTATGGAACAGTGGTTCAAAAGGGTTGGACAAAGGCAACTAGACACCTTCCATTGGGGACTGGTGATCGTACCAAATACTATCCCAGTATTATTGAGCATCTCTTGAGCCACTGCCTCCTGTACATAAGTTAGACCACTACAGGATTTGCTTTCTGTTGGGATCCAAGGATGCAGAAATGACGTCTACTTTTGCTCCACTCCTTTGAGCCATTTACTGAATGCAGTTCTTCTGGACCCAAGCTCGCATCACATTGAAACACATCTTTCACAGTTGTCTTTGTTAATGGATTCTCTTTCATTTTAAGGTACCGCATCATGACGCAGTGCTGGCAGCACAGCCCAGAATACCGGCCAAACTTCTCTACCATCCTGGAAAGAATCAAGTACTGTACGCAGGTATTGGCCCACAGTAACTGGATGATAATTCCCAAGAATGCCAGCCATCCAAATGCACTATTAGTGCAAATAAGATTAAGGCTCCTCACAGGCTGATGTACTTTCCAGTGGTAGTACTGGCTCAACTGTTCATTTGTGTTTTCATCTACCTACCTTAGCTCACCTATCTTCAGCCCAACCAAAATCACATGATACTGTTCCTGTGTAAATGGCTGTTTCCAGTTCACTGCTTGTTCAGTAGCAGAATGCCCTTCTTTTTGTGATAGAAAGGTATTTATTGTCTGCAAAGGTCCACACTTCAACCTTGCTTAGTGCTGGTTGAAAGCCATGGCTGAATTGTTAATGGGGGGTGAGGGAAGATGGCACAGCGTGTTCATCATCTGGTAGAATTTTACAATTAGAGGCATGGATCTAACCTGCCTGAGAGGCAAATTATATACGGGCAACCCTCAGCTCATATGCTGATTTCAGTAAAGCATGGCGACTGTTCAAAGGAAGCACATAAACGAGACAACACTTTTGCAAGTTCTAACAGCATGCAGTACCCAGATGGCTTATGGCACCTTGTATGAGGTGCATGAATAGTGCCCAAGCCTAATGCCAACCTCTGCCAAAAGCTTTTCTCACAAAGCTATTTCTCTGAAAATGCAGGTGTGACAGTCACCCTGGAGGCACTCAGAGTGTAACACATTTCTGTGCAATCCTTCTAGGACCCTGATGTGATCAACACAGAGCTGCCCATGGAGTGTAGCCCAGCACCAGAGGATGAAGGGAACACGGTTGTGCGCCCAAATGTTTCCAGTGGGATAGTGCCCCTGTTGGTGAGCCCTTCTCTTACACCTCAGATGACACCTAAAACCCTGGATTCCCACCGTCCTGGGCAAAAACTTGTACAATGTCCACAAGAGCTGCTGGTGGAAAACCTCAGCAACCGGGCTGCTCGAGGGCCCAGCCTGCCATGCCTCAGTGATTTCAGCGCATCCTGGATCCAGACTTCAAACCAGAAGTTAGAATTCAGCAATCCATCAACCCACAGACTGAAGAACAAAACTAAAAACCTTTGGAATCCAACCTATGGATCATGGGTACTAGAGAACGTCTGTCACTTAAGCCCCACCTCCAAACTGAAAGCAACTCCAGAGCGAGAAGATTCAGGCTTTGATGGAAATTGCAGTTCTTCTCCTAGTTCTCGGGCATCTCCAGCATCTCCAAGTCGAAGCAACTGCCCTCACTTAGACATTGGTGGGATCGAACTGGTGAAACTCCAGACTTTCCCCTGTGGTAATGTAAATTATGCATATGATGATCTGTGCTATGGCACTGATCACCCACCATCAGTTTTGACAGGGGTCAGAGCAGCTGTGCTAAGGAGCTCCAGTCTGCATACAGATGAGAAACCTTTTTATAAAACAGATAAAGCAGCAAGAGAGAGGGACTCTGGTCTGTCTTTGTCAGATGATCTGAGTGTTACACCCGTATAACAGAAAAGATTCATCCAAATATCAGAGAATGTAAGTGTTTCTGGAAGGGCAAACTTGAACTGCTTCTTATTTCACTTACTTTCTCCATGTAAGTTCCTTTAGAGGGGTGGTCTTCTTCCTCCTTCAGCAATGATCTTCTTCCTCCTTCTACCTGCCAGATCCCCAGATCATTACAGACAGTTGCATTTCTACTTCTGTCCACCAACTGTGTTCCATTGGACCAACTTAGTTGTAGAGAAAACAGTATTGCTGCTCTGAATCAGCATACAGTACCTAACAAAAGACCTCTTTTTCAATCAGCTCAGGTGAAAAGAAATAGACTTATTGTCCAACCATAGTGTTTGGATGGAAATAATGACCAACATAGGCTGCTCTTCTTTCTGACCTTAGAAACCAAAAATGCATGCTGTGCCAGCAGTGAGCAACTTGTGAAGACTTGCTGTGTTTCCTTGAGCTTTTTACTGTCCTGAGGACTTGCCTAATGATGCTCACGTAGTGACAGGAAAGTAAACGAATAGCAGCCACATTTTCATCTGTTTAATAGCAGACCCTTTGAAAAACATGAAGTTACTGCTTAAATTGGAAGCAGCAAGAAGGATGAAAAAAAATCCAGGATCCTCTGAGCATGTATTTTGAAAACAAGCAATGAAGAGGAAAACAAACTGACGATTGGAAAAAAATAGATAGTGAAGCTGATGGGATCTCTTTGAATAACAAGGAAAATGTGCTGCTTGCCTCATGGTGTTGTGTTCTTCACTGCTCCTGGTGTGGAAGGGGCAGGTGGCTTTCCAAGAAAGAGTGAGCTGACGGGGGTGATGGGAAATGGACTATCTTCATCTTTTAATGGACTTTATTTGGGATGGACTTCGTTTTTGTAAGTACTTTGATACATGGCAGTAATTTCCTGTGCTATGATGATAAGCATTACTGATGTTCTAAGGTAATGGTAGAATTTGGTAGGCTGTAGCTGGTTGCAATTTTCATATATACTTCTTTGAAGTAGAAACAGAGTAATGCAAGGGAGCAGAGTGCAGACAACCTGCTTAATACAGACATTGCCCAATACAACGCCCCTTTTACAGCAAGGCAAAATAGCTCAGCCACTTCAGAAAGCTATAACTATGACGTTGCTTCACACACAGATTGTCTTTCTCTTTAACCTTTCTAGCATACAGAGCTGCTGGTTAATGTAGTTGATTTTTTGAAAAACTATTTCTAAGGCTATTTTCCGTTACGTAGGGTCTAAACAGATGCTTACTGGTTAAAGCCTGGAGCCTGGAAAAGTAAATAACTTGGTTTAAGCCTGAGCAGTCTCACACATTTTGTACCTGTCCCACTCCTGTGTTGTGCATGACCAACCTGCAGTGGCAAACTACATGCTGCCTTTACATGTAATCAAGTTGTGTGCCACGATGTTGGCTATAGATTCCATCTTGTTCTCTTCCAAAAGAGATGAGGTGACCCAGTACAAGCTACACGCATAGGAAATAGCTGTATGCATACAGCGTAAAGATGTGGTTTAGCAGGATAGAGATTGCTTTGAAGACAAACTTCATTTCCTCTATGTCTCTGAGGGCAGGATACTCTGATATGTCGTACTGAATAGCACAGAGTGGAGAGTTGTGAATCCATCCTTTGTCAGTGGAGTGCTTTTTCAGTTCAGGTTTAATGCTTTCCTTATCTGGCTTTGTACTTGTTCCCAGCTTCCTGTAGTCTTAGACCTTAAGCTTGAGAATGAGTAGTTTTATGTATTCTGATTTCCAGATCCTACTGACGATGATGATTCTTTTAGCAGTGAGGTGAGCTGTATAGCATGGAAAAAATTCCAAAGCCACATTGTGAAGTTACAAGTTATCATCGTGGTATTACTCATGCTTTTAGCCCATTGTCTGTCCTACCTTACGTCCAGGAACTGCTACAGCCAGGTTAGATGAGGTAGATTTAGCAGGAAATTAGGGTACTCATCCTTTCCCCTTGTAGAGGCTAACATTTCTGGTTATGTCGCAGGCAGCCCACCTCTGCAACCTGCTTGTCAAAAATAAACAGACCTAATCTTGGCTGGCTGGATTACAGCAGCTCATCTATATACAATAATGTTAGCATTCCAGTGAGAAGCAGGCAGGATCCCTGCTGAGCTCACTTTGAGCTACTGTTGTTTTTCACATATGCAGCATTTGCTTCAACTTCATTCATAAATTTAAAGAAGCCAATATTGATAAAACTACATAAGGCATTGAAAAGTAAAGTGACAAAAGTAAAGTGAGAGCAGAGCAAAGTTGAACTATAGTTTCCACTACTCACCAGTGCTACAGGTGGGTCTTGCATGCAGCTTAATTTATTCATAAAATGTAAGCAAGTCCATCAGTCTAGCACTTCAGACAACACAGATGTTTTCAATGAATAGTTAAATCAATATACTTATATATACAGGAATAACAGGGAAAAAGCTCCACTGAACTACAGTAAACCTCCATCCAGCCCAGTATCTTATCTCTAATAGTGACCAATAGCAAGGTGTTGAAGGGCACTTGCAAGAGCAGAATAAGCATGCAGTTATTACCCCTTACATGTACGTTGCTAGTTTACAACAGCATGTAGCTCAGGGTGTACTGAGTCAGATGCAGTGTCTCCTAACAAGACAGAACATGGATCTGCGCAGACCAAATGGGCACTGAAAGAACTGGCTGAGAACTTTAAGCATCTACATTAGCAACATGCTTTTTATGTGTTCTTACCTCCCTCAAATAGAAATAAAGGTAAGCAAACTTCTGTCAACACAGACACCGTCAGTCTCTGACCTGTAATAGCTTTTCTGTGTTTATCTGATCTCTTAGATGCTTTTCAAAAACCTCATAGTAAAAATTTTAAATGACAATACAGGAGGAAATAATGCTAATACTGCTCCTACTGTGATACAATAAGCTGTCCAAAACAGGTTTATTAAAAAGAAAAATAACTCTAAATGATGTATACTACAACCAAGCACTAATTCCTACAATTCTTAGACTGTTAATACAACCACAGATTTCAGTGTCCAAATTTTTCCATTTCAAAATACCACTTACTTGAAATAGTCTTTTAAGGAGATGCACATAGTGCATAATGAATGAGTTTAACCCATACTGTCAAAATTAGATTACCTGGGCAACTAAAATCCAAAAAACCAATTTTGTTACCGAGAGGAATGACTCGAGCTGGAGACTGGCGTTATTTAGTCATGTAATCCATATGGAAAGTCTTCCAACAGCTCCCCAGTGAAGAATCAGCCCTGTATAGGGATACTATAAGTTGTTCTTCCCTTTGGGTGTCTACATTTTAACAAAGACTATCTACCACCTCAGTTTTAGATGTGTGTATATAGAGATGTTTTTTTCTTCTGGATTTTGCATTAGTACTTTATGTTCCTTCATGCAGCCTCACACCTACGTTATAAGAGAACTGTAATAACAAAAGATGAAATAATTTGTCTATTTTTTCTTTTCACATTTCTCTCCTCTACTTCGAGAGTTTTGCATCTTCATTTTCCCTTTAAACAGGCAGAATTTTTATCTGTGCACAGATTTAAGGTTTCCACTTACATCAACCCTTTTCCCCAGGTAAGTTCTCCACTTAGTTGCCAGTGGGCTGGTGTACACTGAGACAGTTGCACAGATATAATTACAAAGATATCGGCTTTTGCAAGTATAACTTATTCCACCTCCAATACCCTCCTACTCCTTACCTGAAACAGAACTCTACTGCTGGGAATATGGTTTTCCCCAAAGTACGTGCATCTCTGCAGCAGTGTGAGCCAGGAACCACTCTTCTTCAAACCGCTGAGCAGCAGCGCTATGCCAGACAAGTTCTCTCCTGCAGCTGTGGCATTGCTCTTCCTGCTCCTAGCTGCCTACCCTTTCCAATCTGATGCAGAGACCTTAGGCATGACATCACTAACATCTGCTAGTCTCATCACACGACACTTTTGCTTAATTGAACCAGTTTTGATTTGTCGTTACCTCTGAACACAGCAGCACTTCTTGTCAACTTACCTTTTTGGGTGACTACTGTGCATAAATAGATGACAAGCCTGCTTCTATGCAATTTCAAGTTGGACAAATGTATACTTTATATTTGCAACACAAAATAAAGAGACACCAATGCTGACTATTTGCTTCCCTCTGTGTTAAATACGGTTTGCACACAGGTAAGAGAATACTGTCTTGCTGAGAAAGGTTGCCAGTGGCAGAGGACTGACTCCAGGAACAGAGCACTGTTTATCCCCTACTGCCACGAAAGACAGCGCTGTGGAAACAGCTGCTCTGTGTGCAAAGTATGTTTTAACGTGTTATTTTTTAATATGCTGTAAGAATTGCATTTTTGAGACAGAACTTACCTCTAAGAAAGCCTTCAAACTTTGCATGGTGTTGGGAACAGAGTTGCAAAGTCAGCTTCCAGGTGTCTCAGAACCAGTTTTATTTCAGGAAATAGTAGATACTAAAGCCTAAAACCGCAAGAAACACTGAAATAACACGGTTTTGTCCCTTGCATAGGGAAGTTCTTTAAGAAAATAATATTCTTGTGTGACCAAATCACCATGGATGCCCTTTTTTCCTTCAGTCTCAGGTATTTATTAGTATACACACTTAAGAGTAACAAACACTCAGCCAATACAGTCAAAAGTGACCACAGTCAGCATTGCATTGTAGTGTTCAGAACAGAAGCACTGTTGACAATACAGGTCATTTGATCTCAGTACTGTAAGAATAACAAAAAATAATGACACCAATACAAAAAAAAAAAAAAAAAAAAAGCAAGAGCCCTGTGAGATACTCACAGGTTTAGTCCAAATCCCATTGAAATCTTTCCTTATCATCAGAACTGAATCAGAATCAGATGGTAAATTAATATTCTACATGCAAAATACAGAGGCATTTAATTAGCATCACTTTGGTTAAACTTAATCCAAATGTATGTCCATGGGGAACCTTAACACCTATCATTTTTAAACTCATCCAATATACTTCTTTGTGTACTTCTTTTTATATTGCACCTTCCACCAAAGAACCTCAAGGCATCTTGGAGGCAAAAATGAAGTACAGCCTCATACCATTCTGTGAGGTAAGGAGGTACTATTACCAACTGTAGAACAGGAACAAAACTGAGGCCGAGGATAGCTGCCCAAGGCCAAAATGCGAGTCACTGTCAAAGCTGGGGAAGAGATGTCCTACTGCTAGATGCACACTGAACTCTGCTACATCTAACTAATGAGCTTAATGACCTTGGTGCCTAACTCAGAGGTTAGCTGCTCCATGCCTGGACAAGCATATCTTCCCATGCTGTGGAAACACATGTGATTTCAGTGTCTCCAGAGTGAGGCACTATCCCAGCGGAAGCATTTAAAGAACTGTGCTGTGGACTTGCATGTGAGCAAGTGCCTTGGCTATCATGCAACAGCTCTTATATGGCAAATGCCTGCGCATGTTGATCCCATACAAATGTAAGCTTGTTCAAGGCAACTTACTCCACAGCAAAAGAAAGCTATGCTGCTTCCTCACAGTAGCACGTGAATGTACACAAAGAGCCTCTCGGGGATTTTTGATGTGAATCAAGGTTATCTAACTTACCCTGTGATCATTTGCTCATGATCTCACAGCCTCCAGTCCCTGAGAGCTCCAGTCCTCACATTTGCAGTCCTATACTTGCCATTTGCTAATGAAAAGCTCCTTCCTTTGCACCTTTCCTGTAACAGCAGCATAATATTAGATTGTGGTTTCTTCCTTTCCAGCCCTTTGATAAGCCAAAGGGTGATTTTTAAACAAACTTACTAGAACTATTTAGCATCTAGAATGAATTTCCAGAATAAGGAAATAAGGACTGCCATAGCTGAGGTTTTCCTTCTCCCCTCTCCCACCCCCATCTTCTCACCTACTGCACAGCTCTGAAGAGGTTCCCTTGTTATCTCCAAGATGAGGGTCTACAAACCACCCTTGGAGGTGCTAGCAGCAGTCAGGTTTCTGAAGTACTGCTACCACATTGCTTCTACTTCTTTAAAACAAGACATTAATTCTAAAAGTTCATGACACATTCTCAATTGACATTGGAGTATCAGCTAACTTTTACCCCCTAAATCCCACCCCCATCCAGAAAATAACACACTGATGCAAAAGGTTCACACGTGTTAACAGAAAAAAAGCATTATGGAAGTTAATTAGGCAGACCACTAATTAATTGTATCACCCTGTCTCATTATGCTTTATTTAACCTTTTCCAGTTTTGTCTGTTTTTGGTTGTTTTTTTTTTCCTAAATCCCTGAAACTGCAGTCTTAGAGAAAAGGCCTTGTTATTAAAGGTAATCCTGTGAGATTTATTTACTCCTTTTTTCCTCCTTAAGCAGTGCTAGCTGACAGTTTACCTGTTGGCTGCAGAAAAGGAGGAGGACTTTTTCTTAATTAATAGTATGAAAACCACCACAGATTAATTTGTCATCTCATAGGAATTCCAAAGTTAGGAGGCATCAGAAATTATAACATGCGTGCTCAATACTGGAAGCTCACCACAATTTAAAAAAAAAAAAAAAGAAGTGTAAACTCTTTGAAATAGCTAAAAAACCCTCTGAAAAAAAAAAAAACAGTGGAAAATTCATTAGCATACTATCACGAAAATAAATTGAGAAGGACTCTAGAAGGCCACAGAAGAAGTCTGAATTTGCAGTGAACTGCAAAAATAATTATCAGTTTCAAACAACCTCTTTGACAAGGAAATGTCTCCACACCTCACTGTTTCCCACAGGATATCCATTCTATGTCCTCTAACCTTCAGGGCACAATTGCATTTTTAATACTGCTGTTTTGTTGAGAGGTGATGAATAAGTTCTCAAATCTGATCTCATAGTACAAGAGTCTGTTATCAAAAGTAACTCTTTGATTTCCCTTTGATTCAAATTACAAACGTTACAGATGCATTTCATTGCAGAGCTAAGCTCTACAGGATTTTTGCTCATGGTCACAGTTAGTAATTCTTGAAAAAGCTGCTCCCCAAAGCATCAAGTTACCTTCCTCTATCCTTGGATAGATGCAGTTCTTGGAATCTCTTCTGAGCACAGGACACTCGCAAGAGAAGCAATTTCTGATCGATGTGCGTTACCAGCTCAAGATGTTAAAAGTGAATTAATCAAACACTAATCTTCAGTCATGTCCTCATTTTGGCAACTGCATCAACATGTATTTATATTAAAGCCTGGAATGTAAGTGAACAGGCGAATACTGATGGTCTTTATATCCTGTTATATTTATAGAACTGTTAAAGTGACAAGAGGCAACCAACAGAAATGGTATGTGAAGCCACTGTAAGAAGTATCACTTCAGTCTTTCTTGATTTTAATCTAAACACTGAATCACTGTGAATTTTCTGTGGCTGTGCCTGGGCCACAGCAGAACAGAGTAAACCAAAAGTGGTCCTGTGATTCCAGACAGGGATTAAAGGATGTGATATACTGACATTCCTTCCCCCAAACTGCCCTGAGTTAACAGCTGATATATTGGAGGAGGAATGCGTAGGAATTATCTTTAGTGTAATGCTGTGAATGCAGGAACTTTACTTTCCTGATTGCTGCACTATACACTTTTATATAAAAGTACTTACATAAGTCTACACACTTCAGTGGCAGCATTGTACTTGGGAATAGGAGCACGGTCAAGAAATCACCTCTTTCATGTGCATCAGAAGACAGTCAAACTATAATCTTAAAAGATCACATTGCTTACTGGCTACTAGTGTGTGCATGTATGTGCATGTGTACAGTAGTTTTATGTTAAAAATGAGCAAGCCTTGAAAAACCCCCTTAGTTCCCCAGTCTGAGTGCTAGAGTGCAATAACTGATTTTCACAGCTGTAGTTCAGCTGCAAGAGGCCAAACCTGCCAAGCTAGGCACTTTCCCAACAGCCCACCCAGCTTGAAAAGTCAAATGCTTCTGGAGACAACAGGCTGCTACTCTCTCCCTGGACTATCTGTAATCTCCTCAGAGGCTACATAAAAAAGCAAAGGCTGCTCTTGGACAGAAGTGGCTAAGAGGCTAAGGTGGGGATGAGGAGGACTAATCAACAACAGTTACCACATACAGCCACTACAACTGCTGTCTCACTTTGCTCCAGGATTCTTCTGCTTATCATCGATTTCCACCTTGAGTACACCCATAACATAAGGCAGCAGCTGTTGTTAGTCCAACCTATAGTTTACACAGGAGCAAGAAGACTTGGAATTAGGGTGAAAGAAAAGAAACACTCCTGCTGGTTTCAAAACTATCCAGTTCCCTGAAAAATTGTTACTCCTCCCTTGAATTCCCAAGCATTTGCTCTGGATCACTGAGAGGTAATCTGGAAGTCCCATCAGTTTACCAGAAATCAGAATCATTCTGGTTTACCATACAGACCTCTTGACTCATGCTGGTGTGGTTCCTGAGTATGGAGATCTTGATTCTCTGAGGACCAGTCTTGCGTTAGGCTGGTGCAATGCAGACCAATCTGGAGTTAGTTATTTAGGTTCACAGAGGGCTGATGCAAAGTCATTTTGATAACTAGCTGCTGGGTTCTGGATGTAGTTCCCTCTGCACTGTGATGACCTCAGGAGTCTGAAGGGAGTGAGTTAAAGCAGTTTCCTTCTGAGTGATCTCAGTAGAGAAGAAAGTTAGTTACAAAGCAGCCCTGTAAGTTTTGTGTCACTTTCAACTCATCTTTCCGTGATGCTTTCCAAGATGCGAATCAAATTGTCCAGTCCCAACAAGTACCCATCCTCCCTGTTGCCTTCTTGCCAGGGGATCCTATGATCCAGCGTCTGCCCATCAGGAAGAAGGGTGGTCTTCCCAAAATCAATCAGCCACACATTGGCATTCCCACTGCCATCATGTACAAAAAGTAGTGAACTTCCAACGACCTGGAACGTGGATTGAGATGATGTTAAAAGCATATCTTTAGGTCTCCTCTTATCATGCCACCCATTAAGATGACAGCCTTCTCATCTGAGACCCAACAGTCTTTAGGGCCAAAGGCCACTCTGCTTGCATATTTACAACTTGCATGCATTGTTTATATAACTGAAATCAATCAGTAACGTATAAATGGGCAGCTAGCTGAAAAAAGGGACCCATCAGACAGAGGGAAGAAAAGCAGTTCACCAGCCCACTCGGCAGCTGGTCTCAATTCCAGCAATGGAGAAAATGCCACTAACTATTTTCAAATAAAGACTATAACCTACGATTAACAAAACTGCTTCCAGTGACAAGTGGAAATTAACAAGGTAAAATAAAATGTCTGACCTCAAAATCTTGAGCTGTAATAACCAGAACTTAAAATGCCAATAATGCCCTCTCTACAGAAAAGCATAGAAGGAGAACGTATATAGCAGAATTATACAGATTTAACACAAATCCAGTATTTTGATAAAGACTTGATCATCTAAAACACAACTGAATTCTATTGTACCAGGTGCAAGCTTCCACATTACCACTTCCCTGTAAACATTCCACTGTAGCGCACCGAGATTAGAGAAAACGACAGGAAACTGGTACTACTAAACTACTCTCGACAGTGGCCCAGGGCTCAATGTGTTGGTATGTTATAAAGATGAGAGGATCCATTATTCTTAAAGATCTGTTATTCCTGTATCCTTGTGATGAAGGCTTTGTGTTACCTGTACTGTTTTCTTCTACCACAAACTCCTTTCTAATAATAGAGTAGGCAATTCTGTAGTATATGTGAATGACTAAAAGAAGCAGAACTAAACTACACCTTCACACAGCATTATACTCACTGCTCACCTCATGTCGCTTGAAGAAGTCTGAGGATTCAAGAACGATATGAATTTCCTGCAGACGCTTGAGGTATTTTTTCTGGAGGGTGACGATAGAAAAAAGAAAACAGAAACAGGCAGAGAATGAAGGAAGATATTCTGCTTACAAGAACCAACATAACAAAGAGTTGGTTTTAGATTAGAAGTCTTTCCAAACAGAGCCGTCATTTGAAAGTCAATCTGAAAATACACTTCAACAGGCTTTCACTGCAAAAGAATTGAGTTCCTCTGCTACATGCATTACACCAAGCATACTTATCTGTCTGGATGCAATAATGTAGTCTGCTCTGCAGCCAAATGCTAAATGCTTCTTTTATTTTTCCCTCTTTTTTATATTTTTTTCCAATGAAAATAGAAGTTTCAAGCAATGAAGAATCTTTCAGTTCACCACAGTGGAAAGAGAATGAGTTGGTGTTAGAGAGACAAGGAAGCTCCAAACATATAAGGGGAGGAAAACATATAAGGGGAGGAAAATCAACACATAAAGCTCCAGTATGCATTTTTAATGCTGTCCTGTATTACCAAGCACACTGCTCCTGGGTGCTTAATCTTTCCTCATAGTGGCTTCCATACTGCAACAAAATACTTTGGCAGCCTTTGAAGTTCTGAAGACAATAGAGACATGTTATGACATCTACCACACACCTGCTGTGCTTCCTCTGAAAAACCATGCAGTAGCGTACAGGAATTGCTCTCTGAGGCAAGTCTCACACACAAGCAGAGCCAGCCACCAATCTCACTTCCCGTTCACATGCTCTGTTTTTCTTCTCTCTAGAACAAATTCCCTAATCACAAGTTTTCTGCCAATACAATCCTTGCTCATAAATCATCATCCTTCTGATACATCTTACACTTATGGTGGAGACTGGGGGCAAGTCACAAGTTTGATTTTTGGCTAGCTCTCAGGCTATGGGAAACCTGAGGAACTTACGGCAACAGCTGCCAGAACAGGTCTCAGCCAACCACTACTCACTGCCCAGTAAGTCTTCATGTCCAGCCCACCTGCTCAGTGGTCCAAACCTGTTCTTCCTTGGCAGTTAAATCCATCTTTCTTGTACCAGAGGAAGTATGGCCCTCAAGTAAGTTGAATGGGTCAAAGATCAGTGAACACAAAGAGTTCAGACTCACCAGAATAGTTGTGTTGCCCTCAATGAATTCCACAAAAACTTGGAGAACTTGCTCTTGTGTCTTCGTAGTTTTGAAGTTTGTGTTGCATGTTCCATCTGCTTTCTGCACAAAAACACAATTTATACCACGCATCACTCCTCTCATCAGCCAATGTCCTTGAACCATCAGCAGCTCAGCTCTTGCTAACCAGATGAAAGTAAGTAGTCAAACAGGAAGAGAGGAGATAAACCTCGTTTCAAGCAAGAGGTGGAAAATAAAGAAAAGCTGATAGGATAACTTGAAATGACACTTCATATCCTGTTGAGTGTAGTTAAAAAACAAAACCAAACAAACAACCCCAAACCTCATGATATTACCAGCCTGCAGAAAGGTTTTCCTCACATCTCAGTAGTAGCAGTGCAAAGGTTCAATGAGGCAAACCACAGTGACCTCTTTAGCTGTCTTCTTAACAAGCCCTACGTAGCCAAACCCTGACAGTGGAAGGGGCAGAAGGGGAAGGTTTCAAACCCAATTGTACCAGTTTTTCTTCTTTTTCTTCCTGTTTAGTTTTTCGTTGGCTTTCTTTTTAAACAAGGAAACAAAAGAATTGTAGTAAAGACTCTCCATTCCCAAAAGACCTTTATGTTAACATAACCTAGAAGCCACCAAACAGAAAGCGAGTTCCAGGCAAGAACAACTCAAGATTTGCAGTGATCCAAATGCTAGCAGTGACAAAGTAGGTGTGTAAATTCTGGCAAAAGACAGTGTGAGCATGCTTGTAGCAGCCAGGAGAAACTCACAGTACTTTTATGCTAACAATACAACTGAATACAGAAGCACCCCGCTCCTGAAAATGATAAAATCTTTTTGTGCACTGCTAACAGCCAGTTTGTGCTTGTGAGGCTACAAGTAACTAAGAGCAGTGCATGGATCTGAGACATCTGTGAACACAGACTGCACCTCTCCAAGAACATCCCTCATGTGAAAAGACACAAGCAAAAGCTTTTAGGACAGGCATGCAAAATGCAGCCATTTCTGCAGTAGGTCACCTGTTTCTACCAAAAGCCTGCAAGGTATCAAACTACATTTCTCTCCATTGTAACAGTCCAGTGAAATCCCTCATCTCCATTATTCCTTTACAGGATGAAATTAACAGGTCATCAAAATACATTCCCTTCAACACACTGTCACTGCACCAGAACTAGTTAAATTCTGCTCTGCTCTCAGAAGGCGCAATGCTTTTTATTTCACAGCAGAACCAGAGTCCTTACAGCATACATTAAAAAATGCAATAGTATTGAATTTTCAGATCTGTCACGCAATGAAGTAACTGAACGGCAAAGCCATGCTGAAGAACCTCCCACCACCCAGACGTTTTAGGAGAATAAACACAATTTTATCCCAAGGCCGCAGGCCAGATACCAGCGTGGCACATCAGCCTGCTGAGATACGTAAGTTATGCAAAGGCAGCAGCAGGCAGGCAGTGACAGCAAGGAGCCATCTGATCCGAGATACGATAAAACTCAACAGCAGATAGAAATCTGGAGTTCAGTCTGATGCCTTCTACCACTTCTCTGGAGTAAGGTTATTTTAAAAACAATCTCTCCCCATGCCCTAAAGCCGACAACAAAGTCTGTAAAAGCTGCTGTTTTCTCTGTTTTTTTTCCTTTTCTTTAAATCCAGACACGCTAGTGGCCTGTATCCTTCTTATTTAGAAATACACTTACGATTTTATTCCTTTGCAGCTGTTGACACGAAACACAACTGCTGCCTGTCTTTTTTTGCTGTAAACAACAGTCCAGGCTTTGAACTGCACCATCCCTCGTATTCTGTAGCAGGTCCTTGCAACAGCTCTGAGTGTACCTGATCCCCAGAAGGCGCTTGCCCTTCTTGCTCCCCGAGGTCACATTTTTGTCAGTTCCTGCACAGCACAGCAGTCCGTTGCACAGTGCAGCCTGTGGAGCACTTGCAGCACTTCTCACTAGATGGGACAGTGACACAGGTGGCAGCAGAGCACTAAAATATTGCTGCCTATCTTAACCTGCATGGTCTTGTTCAGATTACTCTGTAGTGTCCCTTTAAAGGGTTCTGGGTTAAGGTTGTGACCTAAATGGATTTAACAGAGACTTCTGAGTCAAATCTGCTGGGAAAATGGCTATCCCAAAGGACAGCTAACAGAACGGTACCAAAGTAAAGTAACTTCTGAAATCGCAGAAAGATTCACTGACACAATGGGAAATGTGAAGCCCTGATTCTCATGCATAACTCTGCAGAACCATTAGCTTGGTGTTGAAGAGACGACGTTTGCAAGGCCAAGACTGCAGACAGTCCCTTCGGGAGGGGGGCTGAATCTCATTTATATTGAGCCCTTTCACAAAAGAAATTCTATGAATTCACTTTATTTCTGTTCCTTACTCCAGCAGTCACAAAGCAGGAATATTTTTGAATGACCAAGCCCAATATCTGCTGACCTAATTCCTGGAGTTATCAGGGTACTTGGGGCAAAAAAACAACTCTTTTTTCCCCCCCAACAACTTGCTAACATCACTGATCCTCATAGGCTTTATTCTCAAAACGGGGACTTGTGAAGTGTGGCATTGCTCCCCTGCAAATATACAAAATGGGACTTAGAGTTCGGCTACAGTGAAGCAGTCTGGAGCAATACTGATTAGCTGTATTACTTGAAAAACTGCCACCCCTCTTCCATATAGAAAAATGGAAGAATAATGCCTGCCTACATCCCCCATAACAGCATAGAAAGACAGAAGAATAGGAAGCACACTGGAGTACTCTACAGCATTTCTTGTGTTTTAAAAAAGGATTATTTGCGTACTTTTTTGCACAGTTACAGCACTGTCTCAGCAGAGGGAAATATGCAGTCTGTGTGCCATACTGCTCCTTCCCACCTCTGACAACCAGCCAAATCACAAAGAACAAGCCAGGAGGTTTTACTGGAGCTCCTCTAGCTCAGTCACTCTTCAGGACTCAACACAAATCCGTAAGTCTTCTACACTGACTTCAGATATTCCCAAGAACATACACAGAAAGTCTTGAGATCATCTGGGTTTCTGATTCAATTAGAGAGAGCATTCAAGGACTTAAAGTGGCATAGGAATGAAACAGGTAACTTGGATAACATCATTATATGGATGAAGGGTAAGACAGAAAGTATGCTGGCAGGATTAGAGCTAGACCATCTACCACCTAGACAGTTCCTGCATGAGAATGCCTGTCTACCAGCCAGGAGTGGGTGGCACAGCATACAGGGGGCCAAACACAGCATGAGCTGGAAGGACTAGTTCCTGTAGCACAGCAGGAGGATCTGTGAACAAGGAAGGGAAAAGACAACACGTGGAAATGGAGAAGATTGGAACGGTTAAAGAGCCTCTGTTCGTGTGAATCACCTTCTTTGATTCCTTTCTTTTTCCTACGTGTTAGAACTACAAAGCAGATGCAAAATCCAAATAGTAATTTAAAGCATCAAAATATACTTAAGTATATATGCTGACAAAAGGCACAACTGTGCTCTGATGAACATCCTGAAATCACACAGGGTAACTAAGCCTTCTAACCTCTTCAGACCCCCCATTACCAACTTCAGCTAGCAAGTACTCATGCAGGGTGCAGGGTGTTTGGGCTGCCCTCACCAGCGCTATGCTGCTACAGGTACACAATTATTAAAACCCAAGCAAACTAATTTAAACTAATTTGATCTGTGACAGAGCCAGTGATAGAATCATAGAATGGTTGGGGTTAAAAGCAACCCTTAAGGTCACATAGTTCCAACCCCCGCTGCAGGCCAGGTTGCTCAAAGCCCCATCCGGTCTGGCCTTCAGGGAAGGGACGTCTACAACCTCACTGGGCAACCTGTGCCAGTGTCTCACCATTCTCATGGTAAATAATTTCTTCCCAATATCTAGCTTAAATCTACCCTCTTCCAATTTAAAGCCATTTCCCCTCATTCTGTCACTACATGCCCTTATAAAAAGTCCCTCCCCAGCTTTCCTGTAGGCCCCCTTTAGGTACTGGAAGGTCGCTATCAGGTCACCGTGGAGCCTTAGCATTAGAGTTACTTAGTGAGGTTGGTGATACTCTAAGTGTAGATCCTAAAGGTTTCTGGATAGGTAACTGATTCTGCCATGAGGCACAAGAAATACAAGCAATTAATGGATAGGAAAGAAAATTGCAAAGATTCTTCAGAGGCTGTGAAGTACTATCCTAGAAACGATACAGGGACACAACTCATCCATCAAGAACAGCAGAAGGATTTTGCTGATTGACAGGTTTTATCATTGTATTTTTGGGCTTTATTCCAGCTTCATCTATACTGGATACTGTCATATTCCTAGAAGTAAAAGATGTTTCCTCTAACCTAACAATACACAGCTAAATGGGGGCCAGCATCTTCTCCCATGTAATTAGTGATTAGGACTAGAGGAAACAGCCTCAAGTTGCACCAGGGGAGATTCAGGTTGGATGTTAGGAAATACTACTTACTAATACTACTCTGAAAGAGTGGTCAGGCACTGGAATGGGCTGCCCAGGGAGGTGGTGGAGTCACTGACCCTGCAGGTGTTCAAGAAACATTTGGATGTTGTACTGAGGGACATGATTTAGTGGGAAATATTGGCAGTAGGTGGACGGTTGGACTGGATGACCTTGGAAGTCTTTTCCAGCCTTGGTGACTCTGTGATTCTAATGCTTTTAACTTGCCTTGCAAATAAGCATAACTGGAACAAAAACTCTCTTCTGTGATTTAAATGGAATATAACAGGGTATAAATAAATAAATAAATAAATAAATAAACAAATGAAAGTGGAGGGGAGAGGCAGCTATTTCATCAGTTCTTCATTCCTCCTTACATTTTCACTGTATCTATGCTCTGTACCTTCTTGTTTTCTTCCTGCAGTATCTCTGTGGTTGAACCGAGCATGGCTGATATGCATTTGGCACTTAACATACTTGACCCAACTGTTATAACAACTGATGCTTTAAAGCAACAACACATTGAACTTCGTGGATATAATTAATGCATTTTCACATAATCCATTAGAAAACCTGGTTTGTGATGCATGCTAGCATTTTGATTAATTAACAAATCTAAGTTCAGTTTAAATTGAACAGGCAGAAGCAGAACTATTACCTTAATCCCTTCAATCCTAAAGCCCAGGTTGGCACTAGAGCTGATTGTTTCCCTCCACTGCATGTATCGGGGCTTGGTGACAGCATGTTGAGCATTCTCTTCAGCTGTGGGAGCAAGAGGATCCACTTCAATCATTTTCTTGTACATGTCTTTACGCAGCTTTGGCTTCTCACGGGCTTTAGTCAGCTCTTCTTCCAGGTATGTCCTGCAAAGACATCACATTCCAACAAACTGCAGGAACTTCCCAACTTTATTTTTACAATTTCAGTTGGCCAGGAAAGCATTATCATTACCTCAGTTTTGCACATGGCAAATGCAAAGCACAGACTAACGACCACACATGCTTACTTAGTGAAACTATAGCAGGAATCAAGACTTGCCTCATTCACTTCTTGTTTTAACCATACCTTTGCCTTACAATTACACGTTATTCTTATGTCCTGCTTACAAGAATGAGAGAAAGCCGAGTTCCTATTCTGCCAGGACATACAAATGTATTTTCAGAGGACAGTTAAGAGAGATCACCTGCATTGAAATCAAAAGCAAAGGGGCCTGCTGAAGTCTTAATGGCTACTCTCTCCTTGAGAAAAACTTCACTTATGCATTTTTTCAGGCCTCAAAAAGCAAATACGGTTTCATATAATGTTTTAGAGAGTAAAAGACATAAATCTTCAAATAGTAATGAACTAGAGCATGTTATCTGAGGAACTGTAGCTCCAAACCAGAAGAAGTAACTAAGAAAGGGAAGACAACACTTCTGCGCTTTGCTCTTATCGCTCCATCTTGGTAGCCACTAAAAAGGCAGCATCCATTGTCTCTACATTTCACTGGATCCTAAAACTTGTCCCTCTCCACAAATTTCACTTTGTCAGGTGCCTGGAGTGTACATCCTTAATTCTTAATCACGCTGCAAAACAAGCTGGACTGTTGTTTAAGAGATGCTGTCACTCGTTCCCTAAGCGTCAACTACTGTGAACACAACATGTACTGCTGCCAATCCTTCTCCTCTTTCTTCTGGGCATAGCAGATTTCTACTCTGATTTAGCAGACAGTTCACTTAAGATTCTCCGCCTATTTTAAAAGGCTTGTCTCACTCCCATAAATTGCATATTCCATTTACTGCAGTAACCAAGCACCTGAGTTGGCACCCAAAGGATTACTATAACAGTTTCTACCCTTCTGTATTGTTACTTGAGGCCTTCAACAGATTCTGTATGTATTTGTTATGCTTAGATAACTTATTTGAGGTTTTCTCCTAAATCATACAGAAGACATGGAAAATGGAAAAAGAAAAGAAAGTGAGAAGCTGAAGAACAAGGTGAATAACATCACACAGATGTCAGAATGGGGAAAAGTCAGTCCTGGGCAGACAGTCAACACTTCTCCACAGGGAAGATCAATATCACCGAAGACTCATTCAAGCTTTAGAAATTGGCTTTCCTATTGGTATTCAGCCATTCACACTTGGAGAAAGGAATTTTACACTTCATAGGGTTTTAATGAATCACTGCATAGCCAAAGATTAAATGAACTGGCAGAGAGTGAATCGTGTAACTTTCTCTCCATGTTTTTTCAGGCCATTGCAGAGAAACTTTGTCCCAAGTCACCACCGAAAGCATCTTGATGGGGGTCACGTTTAGTCTACGGGTCACTCAGTTTCCAGAACCCACGTACAACTGGGCACCAATGGGACACAGACTCCTTAGGCTGCCCAAGGCAAATGTCAAACCAATCGTCTGGACTGAATCCCAAGGCTCCCGAACTGTTACCAAGCTCCTCCAACACACACAGCACGACCATATTATCCCTCCCCTTGCCTCCTACAAACGCATTTAGGTTAGAAAACACGTTCTCTTTCACGTCTCACCTGATCCCCATCTTACAGTCCATCACACATGGCCCTTCAAAATCTGTAAGCAAGTCATCCAGCTGAATGTAGGTCTCTCCATCTCTCTCCACCACACCATGGAAGCAAGGGACGCAGGATCGTAGTGGATCTTTCATCAGTCGCTCAAAACATTCCTTTTCATTCTCTGAGAAGCGTTTGAGAATCTTACCACTATCAGCTGCCTTGAAACTCCCTGAAAAGAAAATCAAAGATATGCTGAAAAGCCTGGCCTGCAAAGGGGAAAGCACCTTCCCCCCACTACTCCAGCCTCACCTACCTCAGCAGCATGATACCACAAAGATTTTCCCCAAATGAGAAAAGATAACATGCCTCTCATAAAAATAAAACGCCCAGGGCAAACACAGCTGTTGGCAGTGAAAATCCATTTGGATACATTCCCACACTGGAATTTATAGCTTTAAGGAATGCAGCTGCTCCAGCTCATTTTTTTTATCCACACCAAACTCTTTGTGAGTATATTAAACATTACTATACTTACTAAAATGTACAAGAAGAAACCACAAGCCATGCTTCCTTTGCTCTGAAGGGTTCTTTTAAAGCTGCGTAAGACTCTCAGTGTTGGCTTTGGCCTTAATCCTCACGTACGGTGTACCTGCTGAGTGTGTACATCCCAAGGCAACGCAGTCCATCAGCAATCACAAAGCCAAGCACTGCCCTTTCCACACGCACAGTCTGTGACTGCACATGCAGGCACACCCAGGTACTGTGCCTGCCCTGGGGAGCCCTGCTAATCTGCAGGTACAGCCTGCAGCACAATTGTTTTCACAGCCACAGGCCTGAACGGTATCCAGTACAAATGAAAGAGTGTGCATAGGCCAAGATAAGCAGTCATTACTCTCCAGCTGTGGAATTTGCAGCCTGCCAATAACATCTGAGAAAAGTACATGTTTCATTCACAGGTACTCTTTATTTAATCTTCACAACAGAAAATAGGCCCTAAAGTAGGAGCTTCATTAAACCCGTGCCTAGCACTGTACTTCTATTGCAGCGGGATCTTTCAGCCATTGCAAACTGTTTCCTTGCTGACAAATTCTGGAGCTGGCACTGGCTCATTACAAGGGCTAGGCTGACAGTGGCACAAGTTATAGTTTGGAAAAAACTTGTCATATCATAGAAGAACAGCTGCAAAAATGATGGACTAAACGCAACCACAGAAAACTATCAAAAGCAAACAGAAATGGTATCTCTCCTAATTATCTCTGGTAACCTCTCTGCCCTCTTCTTCATCCTACACAAGCACTCAGAAGGGTTACAATTACACACACGTTCAGTGCAACACTCCGCACAGATCAAGCCAACGCCAGACACACTGTGATAGAAACTACAGTAAGACAGGGTCATCTTGGCACTGGGTGATACAGGTCAGTATACCACTACACAAATGCAGCTACTCCATTTCTAGGACTAAATAAATCTCTCTGCGCAGCTTTGAAGTGCACTACATTAACGCATTAACACACAAAGAGCTGGTTCGAGTGCTGCATTAAAGCACGATGCAGCGTAGGAGCCTGCCCACGTGTGTACTAATAAACCCTACGCTTGCACATAGGGAACAAGGGCTGCATAAGAATTAAATGAAGCGTAAGAGAAGCAAACCTGATGACTTCTCCTTATTGGTGTTCTTTTCTGTTTGGTTGTTTTTTTTTTTCTTGTTGCTGTTTGTTTGTTTTAAGCTTATTGATGAAAGTAATCCTATATCAGGAGCACACTGACTAACTTCTACTGACACAGAAATAGCTGACTGAGTTGCTATGTGCATTGCATGCATATAATGAATACCAACAATCCTCACTATGCAAACACCTGGCCACCAAATCAACTGTCACCATATTTGCTTTCCTCTCAAGGGCTTATGTTCATGCCAAGAGTTTGGGGTTGGTACCAGAAAACCTGTCCTTGTCAAGGCTTGGGTGCACAAAGGCAAGGACAGTAATGCTTCCAGCTAAGGAAGTAACACTGGCGACTCGGTCAGTGGAAATGATCCCACACCACATTTCAGAGACAGAAACATCGAAGATACTCATCTCACCTGTATGCCCAGCCAGCTGCACCCACGAGTAGCGTTTCTTGAAGGGGCTAATCACTGGTAAATTAACCATGGTTTTAATTGTATGCCATGCTTTTTTCTGGAACACAAAGAAAAGAAATATTAAGTTGGGCAAAATCTGAAATCCTGACATATCATAAACCTATCATATAGCTTCAAGCACATTGAATTGCTCCTTCCTGATCTGCAAGCACTCAGAGGTAGAAGCATAAAGCAAACACTGCAGTCATCTCTGGAAAAATACACTCGTAAAACAACAGACATACATAGTCAAATACAATGTTCTACCATCCACAAGAAAGATGTCTGTAAAAAATAAAGAGTCATGCTGCACACCACAGGCCTGTTCAGAGCCACACCTGGCCCTCTCTCTCTGAATGAGTCATGCAGAGAGCAGATGCTGAAACTACACTTACGCATATTTAAGTTTCCATGAGACACGAATGTGAGCTTTTTGCCACTGTCAGCAATATTTTCTTTCCCAGAGGCTTTCAGTATCACGTCACGACTAACAGCTTTCACCAAGTCAACAAGGGAGTCTCATCATATTAGGTGCATAGAACACACACCATTAATCGGGCTCATAGTTCACTCAGTGCCCCTGCAGCACTCATTAGCAGCGTGCTGTACAACTTATTCCAGGTCACAGATTTTCCCACTCGCTCCTCTCTTTCCCAATCTCGTTACTTTTTAACAAAGCTGGTCACTGCTCTGGCCACCTTGGCTGTCCCCCAGGGCAGCTGTCTGGATATGGCTCCAGGCAGGCAGGGAAACAGAGCAGCTGCTCACAAACAGCAGCTGAGTGCTCCATCACAGAGGTGGAAAGGTGGAAGAATAAAAATAAAAAAAAAATAGAGCGAAATAGAGTCTCATGATTTGGGACTTAAAACCCTAGCAAGTTAGAACCACAGCCCACTAGCAAGCACATTACATGCTGAGGAATCCTAAAGAGCACTGCAAACAAGGAAGGCAAGGCTCATTTCTTCCATCATTAGGACATGGCACCACGCTGGAGAAAAAAAAACCGGAGCTTGTAACAGCATGTAGTGGCTATGCACAACAGAATAGAAGTGCAAAGCACAAAGAAAAATTGCAAGTAACAAAACATGGGCAAAGTGTAGCTCTCCAGATTACACTTTCACTTGGCTGCCCTTCCCAGATTTGTTCAGTTATAGCAGTATTGGTCATTGTGTGGGGGCAAAATTGGGTGGCTGCCTTACCACATGCCAGGAGGATGTATGAAGTCACAGATGCAAGCGGTATTTCTTTTTGGGATTTCTTTTTCCTCAGGGAAGTTTTAAGCTTTGCTGCAACTTGAACTGACAAAACATAATCTGCATAAAGGAGCGCTTATTCTGAAATAAGATTACTTTCCTATTTGACTTATCTTGGTTTTGAAAGCAGCTCGAGCTGAAGTCACTCTTGGTTTGATCCAAGTTTCCCATGCAGCAGTAATACTTTTGTAAACATACTGTGCTAGCAAGAGGAAGCGCTCATAGAAAGTTGTGGATGTTAAAGAATCATGAAGGCTCAGATGCACTTGCTGAAACTCCACAGACGTCGCTAGCTCCAGCTAAGTTACAGTTTAATAAATCCCTACTGTAGGTTTATACACCCCTGCGGTATCATACTCTATATTAATTTGCCTTAAATCATTCCAGATTGCTACTGCACACTGCTAGCACAGGGCTAACTGCAGTGTAGTGAGAATGAAAGGCACAGCACCTGTAAGTGGTCCAAGCTTCCTTCTGGAGGAAGGAGCAATAACATTCTCCTTGAATGTTATTCAAGCAGAAGAGATTAAAAATGATTTCTGTGTAGCCTATTTAGCAGATAGCAGAAGTCCTGTTTTCCTCAGTTCTGCTACAGACAAACAGGACCCAAAGTTATTCACAGAACAACTGGAAGTAAACATCATTCTGAGTTGAAGTAATCCCTGTGGATGTAACTCCTGCCTAAAGTGGAGTTTTTGAAGAGTCCAAGCCAGTTTTCAGGTTTGTATTGCTGGCCCCCCTCGCAACCCCCCCCCAACCAGAAGTCAGCAGGGTTCTGTATCCCTTCTATAAAGATCCTATGCTCATCATGATGTCCCACTCCTAACACAGTGTATCATGTCTCCCAATGATGCGTCATACTGCTATATCCAGAAGTGATGAGAAGCACAGGTTTCCAAGGAATACATGTCAGCTGTCAATGCAACACCACACTCTAGTGGCTTTCCCACCTCCTCCCTCCCACCCAGCCCTCAAAAGCTGCAGCTTTTATTTGTGCTGTGGGTGTGAAGGAGAGACAATGGGCCAAATTCAACTTCAGCTCCAAGGGAAATGTGACTGCTTAGGTTACAGCTGCCTGGGATGAAGATGCTTAAGGTACTCATGCAATAAGTGCTGACAATTTTTTATTTTATTCTTTATTATATATCTACTCACAACCCTTTCTCCCCTAAAACAAGGAAAGCAGGAGACTGGAGCTAGGTGGGAAAAGATCACTTTCAGCCCCATACCAGTGGGGCATGCTGTCCCGAGCAGCGGTAGGCAAAAGTACATTTGCTGAACTGCAACTTTCAGTCTCCAACCCCACTCAACTGAGGATGCAAACAGGGCTGCAGGCTGTTGGAGCAGTGGCGTGAGTGGGAAGATGAAAACTTTGTGTGCCTGCTGTAGGAGGAATCTTTCTCACATCTATTTCTAAAGCAAGATCTTCCTCTTTGTTAGTGATGGTATCTGTTTTTCAAATCACTGCCTCATGCTGCAATAGGACTAGGACTAATGCTATTGCCCATGTGTATTCACAGCCCTTATCTCCTTCAGCCCCCTTTCTTCTACATTTCTGCTCAGTTTTCCTTGATCTTCTACTTTGGCTGGATTTCTCTAGGCCTCATTTTTTGTAGATTCCCATTCAGTGTTCTATGCTACTTATGTATGTACAGAGAAAATTTAGATCTACGTATGAGGATTGTCTGAATGCCTCAAGATCAATGTACTTAAGGGTTTTCCAATTAAAAAAAAAAAAGCATTCCAAAAGGCAAAGGTGCAAAATGTTAACATTCTTAGATTCAGCATATAAGTTACTCAGTGTGAACTGTAACTAACACATCCATACATGAGTACACACACACACACACACACACACACACACACACACAAAAAGATGCTGTAATGAAAGATGTGGGATGCTGAAGAGGACAACAGCTAGTATTCTGCTAAAGAGCATGTGACAGGCTGTGCCACTAGAACAGCAGCTAGGTAGTAATAGAGCAAAAATGCTGTGGAAGATAATGGAAGAACCAATCCCTGTAACAGAGCCACAAGGCATTCAAATATTGTGCCGTGGTGCCTGACATTAATCTGTGCAACAGCACTGGACTGCGCTTTTGAATCACTGAATTTGAAGCACAGCACTGAAGCATATTTATAAATATATATATATATATATATGCACACACACATACACACACACAGGGAAAATGAAGTTCTCCAGACTATTCAACCCTAGGCAGAGTTCACTGTTGCCATCTCACCTATCCCATTAAGAATTAAAGATTAACAGCAACTTGGAGCCATTGATTCCTGGGAGTACAGCTTCCCCCAGAGATCTGTTGTCATTATCAGAGCACAGTTTCATACATGACTACTATGCAGAAGCACAGTCATCACAATCCTGCCTCAAGACACCAGTAGGATACGGCTTAGCAAAACCCACTACACTTACTGGGAGCAGGCTCATATACTGAGGGGTTTTGGATCAGGACTGAGTGCCCAAAGACCTAATCTGCTCTCCTGAAATCCTCCCACTATTTCAGGAGAACAACTATAACACTGCATTATACACACACACACACACACACACACACACACACACACACACAATAATATAATAACATATTCAGCTCACTGAATAGGTTAAGTGGAATCCACTGAGAGTATTCCTTTATCTGTTTAGGGTTGGGTTTTTTTGTTCTTTTTTGAAGCTGTTTTAAGGGCTGTATAGAACAACTCAAGCCTCTCACTGAAATACCAAATATCCCAGGGACAGATCTATTCTGACCTGAGGGTACAGGTGACAGAGACTTGAATCTGTTTGATGGAAAAATAAAATCTCTCTCTCAAAAGAGAAAACAAAAACAAATGGCTAAGTTCTGCCAACAGCTACCACACTTGTAACTACCCTGAGGCAAGCACTGACAAGCAGGTAGTGTGAGCAGGAATTTGCAGAACAGGGTCCTAATTGAAACAAATAAAATTTATAAATACCAACTACATCTAAACTAATAGGGATGGGAGGGCAGGGGGAAAGGAAGATTTAAAAAAAAAAACAAAAAAACCAAAAACCATCATCTCTAATAATCCTAGCTTGTTATTTGAAACTACAGTGAGTTAAAGAACAGAAGTAAACTGAAATAGTAAATTTAATAGAGTCCCTACGTTCATTTTTCTATCATCAGCAAGGCAAAGTAGTAGTTTCTTGCTTGATCTGGTAGATTTTCATGGAAATTCTGCTATACAGTAGTTAACAACAACCTCTGCAACCTTTTTCCAGGACAATTTCAGTAGTTTCTTTACCTCAGATCCTGCTGCCTTTTTTCTTTGCTCTAGTACAAAGCCTACGCAAACCTACAAAGAGCTATTATGACAGCAAGAAACAAAAGGATAGTGAGAAATTTCATTATAATTTTTCTTAAGAGGCTATAAAGACAGAGTACTTAATCGTCAGTTATCATCATCTACCATTCTCTTAAAGTCTTTGCACCATTTAAGCTAAATTCTGCAGCTCTGGGACATGGGGGCTGAAATGTGATCTGTATTGCAGATGCCACTGCCTACTCAGTGTTTCACCAACACCCAGATGGAACAAGGATCATCCACAGGGACTTCGAAAGACTATAAGAAAATATAATCATCAGAAGGTTGCTACACATTTCAAAATAATTCTCTAAGATCCATGCACCCAAATCACAAAAGCACTAAGCGATACGTTGCCTGGCAGTCCCAGCCAACTCAGTGCAAACCAGCAAGCTTGACAAGCACGTGAGGTAATGGATGGGTGCCAGTCTCTTAAAGTACAGAGTAACCATAACAG